ACTCTAGATTGAAAAATGTTTGAGAAAACTGTTATTATCAATACTATATTAATAGGTTGATGTTAAAGTTCTTTATTAATAATTCTAGCATGAGAACTGTTTACTTTTTTCCAATTGAGATGAAGAATTTCATTTAATTTAGCTTATCAGAAAAAGCATCATTTATCAACAATTTTAAAATAACATGTTCAATTTTAGGAGTGAGAACAATTAGAATGCTAAATGAGAAACATTATGGTGCTCATTAACTGCAAAATTGTGTACTTCTCTGACTCTCCATAACAATAGACTCCACATCATCACAGAGTTTATCAGGTATTTTTTGAGATTTTTGGGGAAGAAAATGTACCAAACATATCCCAAATGTTAGTTTTCCCATGAAAACTGTTCACTGTTACGTAATTACAGAGACTTCCCCAGCATTTGTATTATTAAAACTTACTACGTGCTTTCAGACTGAAAAAGAGAAAAAATTAGAATGAGATGTTTGAAATTCTTGGATTTGTACTTTAAGTGATTTATTTTTTAATTTTTCCATCTTTTTTCTAATTGAAGAAATATTAGAGATTTCAAGCTATTTCATAAAAGAGCACCTGCAGTATAAATAACCCTAATTCTCAGTAAATGGAAAAACAAATCTTAATGTGACTTTACAGAATTTTTTTTAAGAATTTATTTATTTATTTGTCAGAGAGAGAGAGAACAAGCAGGGAGAGCAGCAGGCAGAGGGAGAAGCAGGCTCCCCGCTGAGCAGGGAGCCCGATGTGGGGCTCGATCCCAGGACCCTGGGACCATGACCTGAGCTGAAGGCAGACACTCAACAGACTAAGCCACCCAGGCATCCTTTTTTTTTTTTTTTAAGATTTTATTTATTTATTTGTCAGAGAGAGAGAGTGATTTTACCGAATTTTGAACAGATGAATTCAACATACAAATGTGATAATTGTTTTTTCACCTAATTTGTAATACTATTCTCATTTTTTTCTCATTTAGTTGATGTAATTCAGCATCAGTATTCTTTAAGTTTTCTGTCTTTAGCCAATTAATTATGGGAACTAAACAATACATATATGACTAGGAATACATTTTTAAACTCTGTCATGGTGAACATATTCATGAAAACTAAAGGTTTGAGGTTGTGATAAATAAACTGAATCAACCATTTAGAAGTCTTGCAATAAAAAGAATCTTAGCATTTAAATGAGTTTAGAAGCATTGAACTCCAGCAATCATCAGTCCAACATTGTACCATCTATCTCAAAAGAAAATGAAAGCAACTGTGTGGAGGAACAGTACTCTTACTGTCTGCAGGAAAAAATTTGGTACAACCTCAATGAAGAGCAATTTGACAATATAATTCGACAATATAAACCAAAATTACAAGTGGGCATAACTCTTTGGTTCAACAATTCACTTCTAAGAATTACATATGTAGATATATTTGCACAAGTACAAATGACATATGTAAAGATTATTTATTGCAGCATTATTTGTAATATCAAATATGTGGAAACAATCTAAGTGTCCACTAATGGAGGACAAATTATGGTATGAAGAAAGGATAAGGAAACGTATGCATTCACATGGAAAGATATCCAAGATAGACCGTAAGTGAAAAACAAGCAAGGTGAACAGGGTATAGTGTAAAACTAATTATATAAAGTGAGAGACATAATACACATCCACATATATATTTTATATTTAAACCTATTAGCTTTTTATTGAAGTATAACAATATACAGAAAAGTACATGTTAAGTGTAACCTCAAAGATGTTCATAAAGTGAATACACCCATGTAACTGGCACCCAGAGTCTAGGTCCTAGATCAAGAAACAGAACATTACTATCACCCCAGAAGTCTCATCATGCCCCTTCTAGTCACTACCCTTCTCTCTACAAGAGAAGTCAGTGTCCTGATTTCTAAAAGCAGAGCTTAGTGGTTTTTTTTGCACTTAACAGAAATGGACTCATACAAATATATACTCTTTTGCGTCTGATTTTTTTTCATCCAACATTATATTTCTGTGATTCATCAATATTGTTATACATTGTCCAGTCTCATTGCTGTTTAGTGTCCCATTGTGTAAATGTGCCACAATTTATTTACCCAATTCTACAGTTTATGGATATTTGGATAATTTCCAGTTTGAAGCCATTATAGATAGCACTGCTATGAATACTCTAGCATTTGCATATAACATGTTCACATACCTAAAAGAGGAATTGATGTCATAGAATCTGCATAGCCACAATTTTAATAGAAACTGCTTTACTGTTTGCAAAATTGGTTGTACCAACTGATACTCCCACCAGCAGTGGGTATGAGAGTTCCAATTGCTACAAATCCTCACCCACACTTGGTATATTCTGTCTTTTTAATTTTTAGTTAGTATTTGTGTAGTGGTATCACACTGTGGTTTTAACTTGTAGTTCCCTGATAACTAACAGTGTTGAGCACCTTAAGTCCTTCATTTGCTATTTGCTATTTAGATAGCCCCTTTTGTGAGGTGTCTAGGTCTTCTGCCTAGTTTCCCATGGGATTATCTGTTTTATACTTTTAAATGTTGAACAATGTGCATATATTACTTATTTTTTAAGTATTGTAATTGAAATATAAATTTTATAGAGTTCTATGCTTCACGCTCTCTCCTTCTTGGAGATTTACAATATACTAATATTACAAAAGCTCTGAAGTCTTACCCTTTTCACCATCACCAAACAGTTTGTAGAAATGTTGTTTCTGTTTTTGTATGATTTTTATTTCTCATAGACTTAATTGCTTTTCACTTAGATTTCTTAAGTTTTCTCTCCAATTTTATCACATATTTCATTAGATCTATCATACATCTATCAATATAATTTCCCCAAAACTCAAAATTAGATAATCTATAAAATCAATTACTTTAACTAGATTTCCCTTGGAATCTGCCATCTCCCTGCTCCAGTGAAAAAAGGTTGTTCTCTAATTCTGCCACTTCCTGGGGTTTACCTTCACATCCTCCTGGTTCTGTTTTCTGGATCCCATGTCTTTCTCTTTCTTGATTTATTCCCATGTTTTGTTGGAGCACATGTTCCTGTCACTTTCTTTCAAAAAGAAAAGAAAAAGAAAAGGTGGATGGAAAGAAAGGAAACATTTGCATCCTTGTATATGTGAAAACATTTTTATTCTGCCCTTATACTTGATAGTTTGGCTGACTATAGAATTGTGGGTTGGAAGCTACTGTCTTAGAATTTGAAGAGATTTCATTTCACTGTGTTTTAGCATAAAAGTGTTATTGTTGAGAAATCTAATGCCATTCTAATCCCCATCCCTTTATTTTTGTTTCTTCCTTCTGAAAACCTGTAGAATCTTCTATTTGTTCTTATGGTTCTACCTTTTTAAGGATGTGCTTACATATAGGTCTTTTTTAATTCACTGACAGTACTTGGTGGCCCTTTCAATATGGAGACCCCTGTCCTTCAAACCTGCCAAAATTTCTTGAATTATTGTTTTGATCATTTCCTCCTTTCCTATTTTTTGTTCTTTTTCTGGAACTCTTAGTTTATTAAATGACTGGAAAATTAAATGAATGAATGAATGAATGATGAATGAATGAATGAATGAATGGGGAAAGTTCTGAGCACTTTTTGTAGCAAAAAGTGTATTAAGCGGGCGCCTGGGTGGCTCAGTTGGTTAAGCGACTGCCTTCGGCTCAGGTCATGATCCTGGAGTCCGGGATCGAGTCCCGCATCGGGCTCCCTGCTCGGCAGGGAGTCTGCTTCTCCCTCTGACCCTCTTCCCTCTCATGCTCTCTGTCTCTCATTCTCTCTGTCTCAAATAAATAAATAAAATCTTAAAAAAAAAAAATTAAAAATTAAAAAATAAAAAATAAATTTAAAAAAAGTGTATTAAGCAATAAAGCACAGAGTATCAGACCATATCTTTAAAACTAAATATTTTATTTTAAATCATCAAAATTTTAAAATACAATGTTTCATCACAACTTCCCAGTATTGTAAAATATAACATTGCTACTCTCATTTGAGGCAACACAAAAATACAGGAAACATTTGTTCTCTGCTGACAAAAATACCCCATTCAAGTCAGGCATTCCTTATTACTGTGGCCTTAGAATTCATTAAAATGCCTAGTATGTACTTAGTATTGTATACAATACTCGCACTCACACTCTACAAAATAATCAAGTAGAAAGGTGTTTGTTCTAAGGTAAAAAACGGAAAGATGTTTGGTTGTTTGGGGTTAAAAATGAAATGCATTCCTCCCAGATCTATGAAAAAGAAATTCTTGCAGTCTTAGTTGGAATCAGAGGGACTGACTCTTCTCAAAGTTATTTTTCAATCTCCATATAGTTATGGGCGCCAGAGAGGAGAGAGAGAAAAGTAGCTCCCTAGTAGAGGAGCCTGGAACACGAGCAAAACACCAGAACTTGTTAACAGAGTCAGACTCTGACAGGATTTATCACCCACCTCTCACTCCTGACGCACCTGGAAGTGAGGGATGATTGGAGTCCAGGTAGGCAGGTGGATTTACACCCTACCTGACCCGCTGGGCTCACCGGTGCCAAACTCTCGGAAGTCACCACCACGCCCACCCCTCACCCGCGCGTCTCGCGCAGGCGCGGAGTCTGTAATCCGGCGCCCCCGCCCGCACCCCGCCACCTCTGGGGTCTGGAGACTCCCCCATGACTGTGAGGCTCACACAAGATTCCTCCCTGGTGTGAGAGCACGTCGACCAAAATCGGACAGCAGGCTGCTGAAAGGAACTTTTTTTCTTCCCTCAGAGAAAACTTTTCCCCAAACCTGGAAAACTGGGGGGAAAGAAGACAAAACGAGCGTCCCTCGCTCCCTTCCCCACCCCTAACCCCCGCCCCAGCCCCGCGGGTGTCGCCCAGAGCGTGGGGGCCGCACCACGTGCCGGAGACCCGGGGCCGGGGGCCGGGGCCCCTCTCCCCGCCTCAGGGTCTGCCGTGACGTCACCTGAGAAGTTTGGGGAGGGAGGAGCTTGAACTGCCCGGCTCGGGTGGCTGGTGCGCCTGGGAAGGCCAGGTCGGGGGAGGAAGCTCCTCCTCGACGCGTAGCCCCGGCAGAGTTGACTCCGATACCCAGAAAAGTCCCCTCTGACTCCAGAAAAGCAACGACTGGCGAGAGCCGCGGGCGGCATGGGCTGCCTCGTGACCTAGTGTCCCGCCGCGGGTAGTGCCCGGGCGCTCCGGCTCCGGCACAGGCGTGGGGGGGCGGGTGCGGGCTCCCGAGCGCAGCCGAGGAGCTCCGGAAGCCGCCGAAGCGGCGGGCACACCCAGAGCCGGCCCGCGGCCTCAGAGCCCGCGCCGCCCGCGACCATGAGCCGGGAGGCCATCTGCAGCGCCCTGCCCACCATTCCCTGCCACAAGCTCGCCGACCTGCGCTACCTGAGCCGCGGCGCGTCGGGCACCGTGTCGTTTGCCCGCCACGCAGACTGGCGCGTTCAGGTGGCCGTGAAGCAGCTGCACATCCACACCCCTCTGCTCGACAGGTAGGGCACCCCCGCGGAGCCCCGAACACCGGCCCCGAGCAGGCGGGCTCTAGAGCCCAAACGGCGGCGACGCTCGCGGTCGGCCCCACCCCTCGTCGCCTCGGGGCAGCCCTTCAAGGCTCGGGGCTTGCGTGGTGGGGAGAACTGGCTTCTCTGGAGATGCAGCCCTCGCATTCCTCTGCTCCCCTCTTCTCTCCACCGCCCTCTCCTGCTCTGTCCCTCTTACTCCTGGGCTTCCTCTCTCCAGACACCAAAAGCAGGGTGTTTCGGTGTAGGCCTGCGGTTGTTTTGTTTTGTTTGTGGTTTATTACGTATGGTCATGAAAGTTTAGATACCAGACTGTACTTGCTTTGGTTTCTCCTCTCGCTCTCGCAGGGAAGCCTGTCCCCAAAGGATGTGTACTATTTTGCTAACAATACACTGAATCAGAAAACAATTAAACGACCAGAAATTTTGAGTGTCTTTCACATCCTGAACAATTTCCGTGCACTGTCTAGGTTCTAAGGGAAAGTTAGTATTAGTTTCTGTTTCAGAAAAACATTTCATTCCTATACCATTGACCTGTGATCGAATGTATTAGTCAGTAGGTCTAGTCATTTAGTCTTGTGTATTTGCCTTACAGTAGAGATTTAACTAGGCCCTGCGTTCAGTCCTTAGTGAGTTAACATCCATGATTGCAACACTCTCCTCTCCTCCCCTCTATCTAATGTCAGAATTCATGCCGGGTGCCTGATTGGTCAGAGGCTGTTAGTACCCAATGTCAGATGAATCCCTCAGTTTCAGCCTTACCAACGTTCACTGGACTTTCATCTGCCTGTGGCTTTGCTTTGCTGTCTGCTGTCAGGCTTGGATGGGCCAGATCTCACGGTAAATTTGAGACACTTGTGGAGATTGTTCCCACTTTTTGTATATCATAATCCAGATCTAGTGATATTGATGAGATGTGGTGTGTGTTTCACCTGGGCCTTGAGTTCTGTGGAGCAAGTGCTGGCAAATGTGTGTATGTGTATGTAGTCAAGTTTGAAGGGTGGTGGTTGGTTAGAAAGACTGAAAATATTTTAGAATCAGCTATGTAAATTTATGGATATCGAACCCTAATGGACCCTTTAGGTATTCTAAAGCAAGTTGATCTTCCTGTTTTGGATGCTGCTTCTCAAGATTTTAATTTATCCAAGTTTTGTGCTATTTGAGAGCAAAGGAATGAAGAGGGGGTTCCCTTTCTATTCTTACTAACAACTTTCATAACCTAAAACTCTTCAGTAAATTGGTAGGAAATTCTGTTGTCAAAGAAGTCATAAGGACCAGTTAAACCCTCTGGCATTACTGCATCAGGTTCTTTTTCCCACTTGTTACCTAAAATGTTAACTTTAGCAGTATTCTTGTAATCTGAGCATAGGACAGGGCTATGCAGTTGACTCACAGGGTGTCCATTTCCTCACTTATAAAGTGGGAATAATAAACCATGTACTTGGGCTCTGGTGTGGAAAAGGTTTGCATTGTTCTTTGAGACCATCTGGAAGAAAAATAAGTTTATGTGCAGTTACGTGTTTTTATTTTAGTGATTGGTGAGTCATTCTCCGTAACCTGACTTCTCCCCAATGAGTGGGCCTTCCCCAACAATCTCCCGACTCTTTATGTGTGGATGAGTCTGATTGGTTCTTCAAACATCGTGTGGATGACATAACTGTTTTGTGACTGAAATTTTGAGTTGGGTAATTTTGGTGATATGCCTATGAAAACTGTAACTTTTTATTTTTAAAAATATAAAACCTATTTTAGACCTATTTATTTTTGGCTTTTTCTGTTTTGCCACTTACTCAATTTTCCTGAAATCTGACTTCAGGAACTTTCCTTGATCCTTTCCTTTCTCTGATGAAGCAGTGGAATGGAAAGAACACAGGCTTTGGAGTCCCACAACTGCAATTCAAATCTGACTCCAACCCTGCCACTTAATGTTGGCCTATTAGAAAATTATTTATCTGAGCCTCAGTGCCCTCATATAAAGTGGTGTTAAGGTAACCAACTTTAGAGGGTTGGTCTTCGGATGATAGTACATATAAAGTGTATGACACATAATAGGATCACAGTGGAAGGAAGAATGCCTGATACTCTTAATGAGAGAAAGAATAAGTGTATTAAGTATCACTGAGACTTCACCAGCATGCTCTCTCTCTAGTTTTTTTTTTCAGTATCCAGAAATCTTCAAGTCCATCCCCTGTCTCCCTGCAAGAGTGCTAAACAATAAGATGTAGTTCTTGTTGACCTCCATCTCTTACCTTTTCAATTTAGGGAGGATAAGTTTAATTAAAACAGGTCTCATAAACTGAATAATAGGTTGCCTCACAGAGTATTAAGTGGCTGAGAACAGGGAGAAGGAAAAAAGCTTTTTACTTTATGTCCTCTTGTAACTCTTGAATTTTAAAACATATAAATATATTATCTATTCAGAACATAAATAAGATTTTTTGCTTTATTTTGGCTTTTGTTTGCTTTTAGAGCAAGCCTCATAGTCTGATGTGGAATGTCTATTTTCTTACTTCAACAGCCATTCATCCAGAGCTTGAGTGGTTTAAGCACCAACTAACCATCATTGCTTATCCAATAAACTTCTGGAGATGTTTCTATTTTTTTTTTTTAAGATTTTTTTTTTATTCTTATGTTAATCCCCATACATTACATCATTAGTTTTAGATGAAGTGTTCCATGATTCATTGTTTGTGCACAACACCCAGTGCTCCATGCAGAATGTGCCCTCCTCAATACCCACCACCAGGCCAACCCATCCTCCCACCCCCCTCCCCTGAGATGTTTCTGTTTTATTGCTGCTACCAACACATCTGTCTATGGTAAAAACCAGTGACATCTCCAATTCCCTTGCCTTTTTTTTTTTTTTTTTTTTTTTTTTTTAATATATGTCTACCGTAGTCACCACCGCCTGGGCATTCTATTCAGCTAGTGTTTTTCTTTCCATTTTCACTGTGACCTTTATAGTTTCAGACTCTCATTGCTTCACATCTTTAATTAGTATTGTAATATTCTAACACCTGACTTTCAAACTCTGCCCATTTCTGCTGATCGTACATCCTTCTGCCAAAATAGTCATCCTAAAAGTTTGCTCTACTCATGTCATTACCCTGCTCAAAAACCTACAATCACAATTTGCTAACTACCAAATAGAGTGTAAATACCCTCACCTGGCTTTAGGGCTCTCAGATGAGGCTCTAGCCTACCCTATTCACCTTCATTCCTTTCACATGCTCTTTTAGGTATCCTGATTCATATTAAACAATCTGCCATTTTCCAAACACAACCTTCACTGTAACTTCCTTGAATACATTTGATACATATCTATTAGATATCTACCAGGTGCCAGGTCCTGTTTCAGGTCTGAGGGACACACAGATGAGAAAGAAAAGCAAAAGTCCTCCCATCTTGGAGGCCATATCCATCTTGGCCCTTTTACCAATGGTTGATATTCTATCTGCCCTTAAAGTACAGTTGAAATCCCTCTTTAAAGACCGTTCAACTCCCCTAGCCCAAAGTTTACTCTTTTTTCTGAGTTCCCCATAGTTCTCTATTTATTCATTTGCTTACTTACTTAACTTGCTTGCTTGCTTATTTATTTATTTGTTTATGATGGCACTTATCACATTCTGCCTTATGTTTTAAGTATGTATTTTCTTTCTTTTTTTTACTTGCTTTCCTTTTTTTAACTTTATTGAGGAATAATTGACAGATGTAATTATATATATTTAAAGTGCACAACATGATGATTTGATAGACATATGCATTGTGGAGTGATTACCAAGATCAAGATAATTAACACATCCAAAGAAGACCTACAAATGACCAATAGGTATATATGAAAAGGTCTTCAACATCACTAATCATTAGGGAAATGCAAATCAAAATCACAATGAGTATTTATTTTTCTTAAAAAATTTCTTGGCAGCTTGAGGACACAGACTGTGTTTATCTTTATATTCTCCATAATGTTGAGCATAGTTTTTATTCATAATAAATGTTCAGTATTTATTTGTTTTGTGAATGAACAAGCAAATGAACCTGGGATCCAGAGTTGCCCCAGGGATCTGTTACAAGCATTTACCTGTTCTAGGTGTTCTTTTCCTGAGTTCCACTGTATAATTTCTAAGCATTTTTGACCCTTATGCAACTATTATCATCTAGTCATTTAAATCTACAGCATTTAAATGTATTATGTAAGTATTTGGAAAAAATGCACATGGTATGCAACCATGACATTTAATATAATATTCTAATCAAATATAATCTAATACAACATAAACTTTAATTAATTCAAACAGCAATAATTCTAATATCAATAGACTTTATAAACTTAATTCAAACAGCAATAATTCTAATATCAATAGACTTTATAAACTTTCTCAAATATTGTGTCCTTTTCCTTTCCTAGGAAAGTACAATAATAATAACCTGTGTATATCACACTTTTTTCTGTCAGTGGCTCAGAGAAGTTATTATGGACTCTAAACAGACCTGTGGAATGTATAGGGCAGGTATTATCCCTACTTTAAATATGAAGAAACTAAGGGACAGAGAAGTGCATAATTTACATGAGGTCAATTAATGGGGGGAAAAATCTAGTCTTAATGTTATAGGCATGATTATTGTGTATTTTTCATTACTTTGAAATAATTATGCATTTTCTTTCTTTAGTGAAAGAAATGATGTTTTAAGAGAAGCTGAAATTTTACACAAAGCTAGATTTAGTTACATTCTTCCAATTTTGGGAATTTGCAATGAGCCTGAATTTTTGGGAATAGTTACGGAATACATGCCAAATGGATCATTAAATGAACTCCTACACAGGGTAAGTATCGTGCATTTTTAGTAGCTATCATTCTATTATTCAAGCTATCTAGCTATCAGATTATTTGGAGAGCCATAGATGAGTCAAAATAAGAATGGAAAACAATTACAGTGGTAAAGTTAGACAATTTATGACTTCTTTTGTGTTGTTAAAAATATCAAGAGAGTCAGGCTGCATTCTGCAGGACTGAGGTTATTTTGCTTAGGTTACTGTTCCTGAGGTGTAAACTGAATTCTAGTAACCACATGTATATATAAAGAAGTAGGAGAGGGAAAGAGAACAGATAAACTCTGTACACTATATAACCTCCTGTTAGTTAAGCCAAATTTTATTTTATCTTAAAAACAATTTAGGATTCAAATTAAATGTTAATAATGCCAGTCCATAAAGTTCTAAATAGGCCAAATAAGTCTGTCTCTGAGTACCAAATACATTGGTTTTTCCAATAATAGACAAAGGCATGAGCCATTTATCTTTTTATCAATGTACTAGTTACTCTGGCTTTGATTGTAAATCCCATCAGTAAGCAAACTGGAGGGGTGGGTCCTCATTCTTATCAGTAAGCAAATTTGTGGATTCTTATTCTCAAACTGTATGTATTCATCTATTCTTGTTTGCTTGATCTTATATTAATACTATCTGCAACCTACAGTTTCTCTCGAGAAGTCTTTTTTAAATCACTCGGTCTGTTTTGTGAGTGTTGGTTTAGTTAAAATCTGGTAACATGATCTGTAAATTCCAATTAGTGGATGCTCCTAAATTCTGATACATCACAACGTTCTGTAAGCAAACGAGAGAATGGATGCCATTCGTGGAGGGACTTCCTCTTTATTTCAGCGTATATCACTTTCTATTTATGACAGGACCATCTGAGACAAGGACAGAGTATAATAACTGGTGTCTGTGTATAATATTTGTATAACACAGCAATCAAGACACAAATATTATAAGCACAATTTCCTTTTTAAAAAAATGAATATAAGTATAAATTCTAATATTTTCTTCCCACACCCCAGTACCCAGTAGGTACTCTGATACCCAAAATTGGAACCCATTAGAAATTATAGAGCCTCCTTCCGGGGACTGCCAACCCCTAGAAGGAATCATAACATATAGAGTGAGTGTTCTACCTCTGTCTCCATGATCAAAAGCCTCCATGTGATACTATACTGCACAGAGGCCTTATGACTCCTTTGAACTACACAATTTTTAGAAGAAAATTACCTTTTCACAGACTAAAAGATTCAGTTACTCACTGGGGTGGAGGTCTGTGTATACCAGAGGAAGTAATGTTTTATGTTTCTTTTGGTTTCCTTTGTTGTATTATTAGAGCGGGATTTATCTTGAAGTACTCTCCCCCAACCTCAAAGAAGACTATTGAAAAAAATCAAAATAGAATGTAAACAGCAGGTTAATCAGGGAGCTATACGCTTACCCATTTGCAGAAAAAATTGTCAAGAACAGATTTGAGCTTTCAGTAAAAGCATACTTTTTCATGTCATTTAGAATGTATCCAGTAGCTTGGTGCCTGGTGAATCATTGCCAGATCTTCCCAAATTATCTAATTTTTCTGAGTATGTTCATTCTCCTAGGAAGCTACACTAACTTTTATGTTCAAAAAGTTCAGATGAATATCACTTTAAGTACCAAGATATATAAAACATTATATTTTAAATATGTCTGTATTGCATACACTTAAAAATGAAAATGATCTTTGTCTCTTTCACAAAAGCAAAACTTCCAAAGGCTAAATTTTCAAGCTAGAATACAAAAATTGTACGATAAGAAGTATGAGAAATTCATGCTTAGTAAATAAACATAATATGGTCATAATTTTAATTGATGTAATGATTATTATAATAAGGTATGATTTTATATCAATAGGAAAATTAAAATATAAATTTTGAGTTAATGGTATGTACTAAAAAGAAATTTTTTGTGCATGTGTGTTTGTGTGTGTGCATGTAGTTATTTGATACAAACCATAGAATGAGAGATAGATGTGAGTATAGGTAATGTGTTTGGGTATTACATAGAAAAAAAAAAATTGAAAACTGTTTAAATGAAGAAAGAAGAGCCAATACCATGTAGTTGTATTACCAACATAAACTAAAAGGAAATAACAGTACTATAAAGTCATCATTATTTTTTCTAAAAATTGAGGAAAATAAGATATACATGGATGTTAAATAATATCAAATTGATACCAGGATACTATGTAATAAAAATGAACATATGTCTTGACCTTTGTTTATACTGTATTTCCACATAGAGTATTTAATTTTCTAAGTGGAAATGTAATGAATATGGTCACTTATTTTAGTTTTGTTTATTTTCATATATATGAAGAAAACAGAATATCCTGATGTTGCTTGGCCACTGAGATTTCGCATCCTGCATGAAATTGCACTGGGTGTAAACTACCTGCACAATATGAATCCTCCTCTACTTCATCATGACTTGAAGACTCAAAATATTTTATTGGATAATGAATTTCATGTTAAGGTAATTACTTAAAAAAAAAGTTTATCTGCATCCTTGAGATTAATAGTTTTAAAAACTTTTTAGTGTTTTTTTCTCTACTTAACCAATTTAATATCTCTCTGTTTTCCATAGCCTATAATTCTTTTCTTCAGTGTCCCTTCTTCCAGCTTCAGTGGCTTAGTTATTCCTAGACTTAAAAGATAGATAGAATTATGGTACAAAATACAAAGTCATTATGTCCTTAATTGAAATGATCAAGTAAGCCCTTTTTTTTCTTTTGATTTTGCAGTTATTATAGATTCACAGGAAGTTGCAAAGATAATACAAAGAGAATCCATGAACCCTTCACTCAGTTTCTGCCAGTGATTACATTACATGTAATTACAGTACAATTTCAAGTCCAGGAATTTGACATTGTTACAATGCATGTATATAGTTTATGTGTTACTCTATCACATGTGTGACCATCACAGCAATCAAGATACAGCACTATTCTATCATCACAAATACATCACTCATGCTACCCCTTTGTATTCACACTCATCTCCTCCCTTCCACTATCCCTAACCACTGACAACCACTAATCTGTTCTCTATGATTTTGTCATTTTGAAAATGTTGTATAAATGGAATCATACAGTATGTGGTATTTTGAGATTAATATTGTTTACTTAGCATACTTTGAGATCCATCCAAGTTGTTGCTTATATCAATAGTGGTTCTTTTTTATTGGTAAATGATATTTCATGGTATGTGTATACCAAAGTTGTTTAACCATTCACCTACTGAAAGGTATTTATATTGTTTCCAGTCTTTGGCAGTTACAATAAAACTCCTGTGAACAACCCTGTGCAACTTTTTGAATGAACATAAGTTTTTGTTCCTCTAGATAACCAAGAGCTAATGTCCAGGAGTGCAATTGCTGGGTAAGGGTTTGTTTAGCATTTTAGGAAACTACCAAACTGTTTGAGGGGCTGTACCTTTGTACATCCTACCAGCAATATATGATTGACCTAGCCTTTCCATATCCTGACCAGCATTTGGTATTGTCACAGTTTTTTATTTTAGCATTATAATAGGTATATAGTGATAGCTCATCATAGTCTTAATTCCATTTTCCTAATGGCTAATGATGTTGAACACTTTCTCATTTGCTATCTATATCCTTTTCAGTGAAATGTCTCTTCATGTCTTAAGCCCATTTTCTGATTGGATCCTTTGGATTTTTATTACTGGGTTTTGAGAGTTCTTTAGATTTTTTAATATGAGTCCTTCATATTTAAAATGTAGATATGTAGTTTGCAAATATTTTCTCCCACTTGGTGGTTTGTTCTTTTCATCCTTTTAACGGGTCTTTCACAAAGAAAAGTTTTAATTTTGATGAAGTCCAATTTATCAGGGGTTTTTTTTCCTTTATGATAATTCTTTGCTGTCATATCTAAGTAGCCTTCATCAAGCCATAGGTATTAAAGATTTTCTTCTAGTTATCTTCTAAAAGTGTTAGAGTTTTATGTTTTACATTTAAATCTAGGACCTACTTTGAATTAACTTTCGTAAAGGTCATAAGATTTAGGTGCCTAAAGGCCCCAGGTGTAGTAGTGATTTCATAGTTTACCCTGTATCTAACTGATGACAGCAAATAAAAAGTAGTTGCTAAGTAACTAACACTAAATGTAACTCACTTTATTTTTATGTTATTTTGCTATACTTCTTATAATAATATATGTAATTAGAGATTACTGTAAATATCAAAAAATGTTCAAAGAAAAAATAACAGGGAGGTTGGAACAATAGAAAAATTAATACAAAAAATGTGAGAAAAGTTAAATAAAAAACAAAACCCCTGTTAAAGGCACTTCCTCTCCCTAGAATAAAATGGGAGGGGAAAGGAAAAGAAGCAAGCTGCCATCTCAGTACTACTAAAAAAAGAAACTAATCTATTACATCAGCTATAAAACCACACAGGTAGAAGTGCCTTAATGGTCAGCAAGTCCATTCAAGTCTGAATCCTCACTATGATAGTCCCTTATCTCCCAAGGCAGTTAGTCTATGACAGGGGACTCTTAATATCCATACTTAAATTGATATTTCCTTATGTGATTAATCAAAACGCCTTCCATTTGTTTTCATCCATGGGTCCTAGTTCTATTTTTTGTGATAAACTAAATAAATCCAATTCTACTTCCCATATGACAGCCCTCTCAATGTTTACAGATGGCTATAATCCCCCTGCCCCTCACATACACTCATGTTTTGTTCTTCTGTCTTCGGAACATCCTTAGTTCTTTCAGCCAACTTCCTTATTACATTGCTTTTAATCGCAGGTGCTATCCAGATGCTTCTGTGTTTAAATCTCTGTTAAATTTTTATCCTCACAATGAAACAAAATACTCCTTGTGACCTTATGAATATAGACTTGAATGGAAGTGTCATTTCCCTGGTCCCTAAGCACTTTGTTTAATACTTAATGAATCATTGGCTTTTGGGGGGTGATCATATCACAACATTTATTTCTTATTTATTTATTTTTTTTAAGATTTTATTTATTTATTTGACAGAGAGAGAGAGAGTGAGAGCAGGAACACAAGCAGGGGGAATGGGAGAGGGAGAAGCAGGCCTCCTGCCGAGCAGGGAGCCCGATGCGGGACTCAATCCCAGGACCCTGGGATCATGAACTGAGCCGAAGGCAGACGCTTAACGACTGAGCCACCCAGGCGCCCCATATCACAACATTTAAATTGGGCTTAACATCAACAAGCCCTGAGAGGTTCTTTTGTTCAGGTATTATTGCTTAAGTCACGTCTCCTTATTGTGTACTTTGCAGAATACTTTCTGGACATCATCAAAGTTTATTTTGTTAGATTTGAGTGATCACTTCAGCCTCTTAAGATCTTTTTCAGTATCATTTCTGTAGCCCAAGGATTTTAACTTTGTCTCCCAGCTTTGTGTCATCCTCAGATTTAATTAGCTAGTTTTTGTATCTTTAAGTCATGATTAAATATTAACCAGTACAGAGCTCAGATCAGAGCCTCACAACATGGTGCTTAAACCTCCTTCCAGGTCAATATTAATCCTTATTTAGCACTTTTGGAGAATAATCATTAATTTTGTGTGGACTACTTTGTGCAGAACTGTTTTACAGCCCATATTTCTCCATTTTTTCCTTGAGAATATCATCAGGGGTCCTTGCTTGACTACTTTCCCAGGTGTCCTCCTGGCTTATTCCCTCACCTTCTTCAGAATGGCTTTCCCTGATGACCTACCCAGTTCCTCTGTGTCTTTGTACCTTGATTTATGCTTCTGCATATTATTTTTCACCATCTGTCATATTATCATTAATATGTTTATTGACTGTCTCCCCCAGTTAGAAAATAAACTCCACAAAGACTGAAATTTAGTCTATTTTATTAACTGCCACCTGCTCAGCAGGTGCCATATTGAAGCATTAACTAAGTATTTGTTGAATAAACAAATGAATGAATTCCGGATCTTCTATATATACCAGATAGGCCTGATAACTTAGTAGTCATGCATGTTATTATAAAATAACAAAGTGGGGGCACCTGGGTGGCTCAGTCGTTAAGCGTCTGCCTTCGGCTCAGGTCATGATCCCAGGGTCCTGGGATCGAGCCCCGCATCGGGCTCCCACTCCCCCTGCTTGTGTTCCCTCTCTCGCTATGTCTCTCTCTGTCAAATAAATAATAAATAAAATCTTTAAAAAAATAAATAAAATAACAGAGTGTTTTATAATATGCAAACTGTTTTAACATTTACTCTTTGACAGTACTACTACTGTCAAAAAAGGAAATGAAATTGGTCATAATTTTAGTCAGTAAATATTTATGGAGCAGCAGTGGCATTGTGCCAAGGACTTGGGATATAGCATGTGAGACCTGAAATTGACTGATTTGGTCTGATATAATTTGTTTTTCATGAATTCTTGCTGATATCCCTTTTATTAAATTTTATAAATTTTTTAAGCAGGGATTAAGGATAGTGTCTACCAATAAGTAGATTTGCAAAATCAACATTTTCCTTTCCTTTTTGAAAGTCAGAATGTCATTTACTTTTCTCATATCCTGTAGTACCTCTCCATTCTGTCCCACAAAGAACACTGATAGCACCATGGAGATATTTGCAAGTATTCTCAGTAACCTGAAATATATATAAAATATATATAAAATAACCTGAGATTTGCATTTTTTAAACCTTTCAATGTCCTTGTACTATACTTTCTTCATCTCAGTCTGGAAACTATACTTAGCAGAGTAAACAGAAGCAAAGTAATAGGTAATGATTCTTACTTTCTTGTTTTCGCTGATCAACAGGGTATCCTTGGTCTTTCTTTGATATGAATAGAATTTAGAATAGTTTGGCTAGATTTAGTTTTTATAATTTTTATTAATTTAGTACATACAGAGCTGTGACCTTTCTAATACTATTATAAATTAGCGACATTCTTTTACATGCATCTTATGTGTCTCTACTTTGTACTTTATAAATGTCCGTTAAAAGTCAAAGTTCATCACTGACTCATGAAAAAGTAACAGTTATTTAATCTACCTATCTTCTTGGAAAGGCCTTAAATGAAGTGCAAAGTATCTTTAAAAATACTTAATGAAATTAAATGGAAATTTACACCTTGCTACCATTTTCTGAGGTAAGTTTTCTCACTGGAATGCTGACCAGAAACATAGTATCTGAAAGAAAAATGTTTACTACTGATTAAGGTCAACTGAGATTTTTCTACTTTAAAAAGGATACATTAGTTTGGTTATCTGCCACGTGTCCATTAGTGCACCTTAGATACAAATGAACTAGTGATACGCTTCTTTGAAATGAAAATATTTATATGTGCCATATTTGCTTTCTCTGCTATTCTCTCAGTCCGGTGTGGAAACCAGAATACTTTAGGGTTATTCTTCGTAACTTCTTACTGATGATAACTTTATAGTTTTATAGATATGGATAGTATATGTAAATGAAAATAGCTATTCTACTAGGGTGAGAGGATTGTGGATTTTTATGAGTAGTGTGTTTTAATTTCCTCTAATTTTTAAAATCATCTTTTTAGTTAAAAAGAAAGCCCTTAGCTAAATCAAATTTAAAATCTTGTGTAGAATGGGAAAGTTCTTATTCTCTGTCTTCATGGCTGAATAATAAATTTATCAAGACTTTCAAGAAATCATGGCATTCTTATTCCTTCCCTCACATTATTCATTTTTATCCTTCTGTTGAAGATCCAGATTTAATGAGTCAAATTTAATGGTATTATTTGTAACAGAGAAAGGGGAGAAGTATAGTTCCATGTGAAAACCAGACTAAATCAGCTCATAGAATTCTGATTAAGGTTTTTAGGTCAGGTTTGAAAATAAAGATGAAGATCTTAGGTGAAGGAGCACATAAGGAAGCAAGCTCAGGAATACATTTTCTACAACACTGTATTCAAACCAACATTTAGCCCAGGAATTTGCAAATTATGGTTCAGGTATAAGGTGAGACCACATCTCAGATTTTTTTTTTTTTTTTTAACATTTTCACTTGTGGGGGCACCTGGGTGGCTCAGTCAATTGAGTGTCTGCCTTCGGCTCAGAACATGATCCCGGGGTCCTGGGATCGAGCCTCACATCGGGCTCCTTGCTCAGCGAGGAGCCTGCTTCTCCCTCTCCCTCTGCCTTTCCCTCCTCCCCACTTGTGCTCTCACTCTTGTGCTCTCTCTTTCTCTCTCTCTCTCTCTCAAATAGATAAATAATAAATAAATAAATAACATTTTTCACTTGTGGCATAAAAATAAACTCTACTTATAGTAATGCTTATCATTCTAGCAAATGTGCAACTGGAGTGCTGTTTTTTTTGGTTTTAGAGGGTAGGTGGGAAGAACAGATTGTATTGAATAAGAGCAACCTGTATACAAAACAATAATATTAACACATATGGATCACTTATTATGTGATAATGTTCTGAATGCTTTGCTTAGAATAAGTTATTTAATTTTCTCACTACAACCCTGTGATATAGTGTTATTATCCCCAGTTTGCAGGTGGGTAATCATACAGAGGCACAGAAAAATTTAAAAACTTCCCCAAGTTCACACACAAGTGGTAGAATTGGAATATAAATGTAATATAACCTTAGGCTCTAGAACCCATGTTCTCAGCCACGTGGTATATTGCCTTTCAGAATCAATCCAGCTTAGCTCTTCATGTATTGGCACCATGTTTTCTCTTGGTCTTTTCTATTTTTTTTCTTAGACTTACCCTTTTATTTTAATAATGTATGAAAAAAATCATATAGTCCACCCCCTCCCTTCTTAAAGTAATATTTTTAATATCAAATTCATCTAAACACTAAAATTTTCTTCTATTAAAATTAGTAAAAGTATATGAGTTAAATAACTGAAACACCAATGGTGTGCTAGATAGAATTCATTTCCCTCTGTTGGCTCTAACTTATGCAGTGTGAAGATCTAAGCAATTTAAATTAAATGTTTTTAAAGATTCACTACACCCTTTTGTCCATTAAATACTGTTTCTGTTCTTATATTTTGTCTTCCATTTTTTAAAAAATAAGGAAACCTTTAAATAGTTATAAGATGTTGTATAACATCTATACAAAATTTACAAGTAAAGCAAAACTGTAAAGGATATATCAAAAGTATAGAATGGCACCAATAATTCTTTAGGCAGTACTTGTTGTGGACATAAATATGTCTTATATGCTAAATAGACTGTTGCCAACAGATATGATTCTTTTAGTGGTATGCATAAATCATATAATAATGACCTAATATATTAGAATTTTACTTGCTTCAGAAATTAAGGTTACTATTTTTAGGGCATTGTAAATAAGAACATATAAACCTGAGTTACAAACAATGCCCAGTGGCAGTCATATTAGATACCAGTAGTTTAGCAGTTCTGTGAGGTGTAGGAGAATTTTGAAAGCACATGCTGTAAAACTACTTGTCTTAAAAAGTAGTGTTTGGCATATATGCTCATTCAGAATTTAGGACAAAAAATACTCTGTTTAATTTTTCAAAACTCAGTTTCCATTTTAAAATTTGTGACATTATGAACTTCAAGTCAGTATGTATTGTTTCTAGAGTTACTGGATTCAACACTCTAGAAGTTAATGTATTAAGAAACTGATAGTATATGTAGAAATAAAATATTAATATAGAACACTTCCTCTGGTCTCATACCTAAATACAATGAATATAAACAAAGACAGTTCTTGTTGTTGTTGTTTTTTTTTAATTTTTAAATTCAATTATTTACTCTTTTCCCTTACAGATTGCAGATTTTGGTTTATCAAAATGGCGTATGATGTCCCTCTCACAATCACGAACTAGTAAATCTTCACCAGAAGGAGGGACAATTATCTATATGCCACCTGAGAACTACGAACCTGGACAAAAATCAAGGGCCAGTGTCAAGCATGATATATATAGGTATAATATGTTATTTTTGCTCAGAGTTAACCTTGTCCAAAAACAAGATTAATGAGAATTTTGAAGCTACATTTTAATTTAAATTTTTTTAAGATTTTATTTATTTGAAAGAGAGAGCATGAGAGGGAGGAGAGGCAGAGGGAGAGTGATAAGCAGACTCCCCAATGAGCAGGGAGCTGGATGTGGGGCTCCATCCCAGGACCCTGGGATCATGACCTGAGCTGAAGGCAGACGTTTAACAGACTGAGCCACCCAGGTGCCCCGAAGCTACATTTTAAAGTGTGATTTTTAGTCTTCTCTCATAAGTGTGGTGAAAATAGAGACCACAGTCGTTAATATTTTTAAAATTAAAGATGCCTTGCTTTAAGCCACTTTTACATCCTTGAAAAGAATTTAAAGTATATATTATTGTTCTGTCAATTTATAATATAGTACTAAAAGGTTATTATCTGGGCGCCTGGGTGGCTCAGTTGTTAAGCATCTGCCTTCAGCTCAGGTCATGATCCCAGGGTCCTGGGATGGAGTCCCACATCGGGCTCCCTGCTCGGCGGGAAGCCTGCTTCTCCCTCTCCCACTCCCCCTGCTTGTGTTCCTGCTCTCGCTGTCTCTCTCTCTGTCAAATAAATAAAATCTTAAAAATAAAAAAAAATAAAAGGTTATTATCTTATGTGACATTGATGGAGGAGGGAGGGAAACAGTGTGGTTAACACTTAACACTACCAAAGGAGATAGTACTTAGGCCAGAAAAAAGTCAATAGAATAGAGCTACATGAGATCATCTTTTTTATTGCTCTTTATTTTGTGTGAATAATAGAATCATGTAACTAGAGGTCATTAAAAGTCATCCACAACAAGTTATCCTTACCTTTAACTCCAAATTTTTATTACAGTAATTTGTTAATTTTTCAAATTAGATTAATTCCCTTTCAGAACAAAACTGTATATAAACACATCATTTTTATTATATATGGTGATTCTTTATATAGCATTTCACTACCTTATTACTTGCAAAAATGATATCTCCACAGTCAGCTTTTAAAATCAGTACTATTTTAGTTTATTGTGCATAGTTAGTTTATAATGTCCTGTATGTATATTTTTATCTTAAAAAGCTATGCAGTGATCACATGGGAAGTCTTAACCAGAAAACAGCCTTTTGAAGGTAAGTGTACTTTCACTTCCTTATTCTAGACGACAGCATGTTGGTAGGCCATATTCAGAACTATCTAAATAAAGCCCATCTTATTTTAAATCTGCCTACCATTCATTTTTTGGAAAACACACTATAAAAACAATTTATCAATTCTGAATCCACTGTATATTAAAAACTGTACTGGATTAAGGGTCAGAAAAATGTAGATTCTGATTCTTGTTCTGACAATAATTAGCTCTGTAATCAAGCCACTAAATCTCTTGAGTCTTCATTTCTTTTTAATTTGCAAGATGAAAATTTTGAATTTTATTTCTAAGATTCATTCCAGCTCTAAAACTCTTTATTTGAAAATTTAATTAGTGCTCCTTCTATAACTTTGAAAAATAATTTTTAAGTTTTCTGATAACATTGTCCATTTCTTTATTTTGAGGAGTGTATGGGTCAGCTATCTGTGTAACAACCTCAGAATCTCAGTAGCTTACAAAATAAGTGTATGTTTCTCATTCACATTAGGTGTGAGTGGCCATTTTTGGCTGTGCTAGGTTCCACTCAGTTCTGCCGAGCTCTGCTCTATTCATGTTCCATTGGCCAAATCAGGTGACCAAGCTTAAAATTAATGTGGTGAGGTGAGGCTGTAAATACGACAGGAGGCAGACGAGTCTGTCACTGGCTGGGATATATATGTGTATATATATGTTTTTAACAGAAAGGGGGGTAATGCATTATTCCTATGATTTTAAGTTTCCCTCATTTTCATTTGGTTGACTTTAGAATGTATTTAATTAGTGTATTAAATCATAATATATTTCTAATGAATGAAATATATTTGTTTTGACAGAAGTCACCAATCCTTTACAGATCATGTATAGTGTATCACAAGGACATCGACCTAACACTAACGAAGAAAGTTTGCCACTTGATATACCTCATCGAGCACTTATGATCTCTCTAATAGAAAGTGGATGGGCGCAAAATCCAGATGAAAGACCATCTTTCTTAAGTGAGTGTACAGTTTTAGTCTGGACCTTTTGAATTACAAAAACAGTGAATATACTGTGAATAAAATATTCCTTGAAAAATTACACAAGTTAGATGGCAAGCTTAAAGTTGTTTTTTGTTTTGTTTTTTGTTTTTAATTCAGTTGCTGTTTTTATTTTATGAGATGAGATTGGAGAGATAAGGAGGGGCTTTGGCTACCATTAAAAGGCTAGAAATTTATTCCAAGTACAATGGAACAACATTAAAGTGTGTTTTGTATGGAAATGACATCTAATTTAAGTTTTGGAGAGATCACTCTTGTTGCTGTGTGGAAAATTGACTGGAGAAGGGTAGGCATGGAAGCAAAGAGACCACCTAGGAGACTCTAGCAAGAGTTTATTAAGGTGCTAATCCATGATAGACAAATTAGATAGAATTAAGATTTATTTCAAAGGTAGAACGGATCATCATCTAAATGTAAACACAGGAGAAAGTTTTTATGATCTTGTCTTAATCAAAGAGCTCTTATATATGACATCAAAAACAAGATCCATGAAAAAATGATAATTGAGCTTTGAAAAAACTGAAAATTTTTGCACTTCAAAAGATGCTGTTAAGAAAAAGTGAAAAGATAAGCCACAGACTGGGGAATCATCTTTCTAACTAAAAAAGCAATGAAATATATTTTTTATTCAAAATTTGTGTCCAATGCTCATTAGTACTATATTTAAAAAAATCAAAAGTTGCTTGTAATGGATTCACATTTTATTTCTTATTTCCCAGAGCTATGTGGGAGGATATATATCTCCTTTGTCCCCAGTGCCACTTCCAACTATTCATTTCTTTTCCATTCTCTAAAAATTCCAACTTCTCTGCAGATCATACCATTAGGCATACTTACTTCTCTACAGACTTCGTGTTTTTTCCCTATTGTTCTTTAAAGACTTTTGCTGAATACTTAAAGGAGCCTTCTGCAGATCACAGAGCTCTCTCTCTGTATGTCTCCCCTCTCTGGTACTGCCCTATGAACTCTCTCTGCCTTGGTCTACCCAGACTTTCAGCCCCATCTCTTCAATTAAGTTTCCACTCAATTGAGAAGTGAGGCTCCACCTCACTTCCCTCTTAAGCTGCAGCTAGAAACTCTCAACACAGTAAGCGTGGGCAGTCATAAGGCTCACCTGATTTGTTTGCCATCTCAGTGATCACTGTCCTTTGTTGCCTGATATCTAGTATCTTGAAAACCACTGTTTCATGTATTTTGTCTGGCTTTTTTGGTTGTTTTAGGCAGAGTGGCAAATCAAACCCTGTTGCTCCATCTTGGCCAGAAGTGGGAGTTATTTATTGGTTTCTCTTTAAATTAATGGCCAGGGCACCTAGGTGGCTCAGTTGGTTAAGTGTTAAGTATCTGCCTTCAGCTCAGGTCATGATCCCTGGGTCCTAGGATTGGTGCTTGGGCCTCCCTGATAAGTGGGGAGTCTGCTTCTTCCTCTGCCCCTCCCCCTGCTCGTGCATGTTCTCTCTCTCCTCTCAAATAAATAAATAAAATCTTTAAAATTAATTAATTAATGGCCAAAATTGGACACTAAACACTACTTAGCAATTCTGTTATGCTTCTCAAATACATGTACTATTCCATTTTCATAGATCAACTGTTCTAAAGGTGTGGTACAAGGGCCCCTGGGGTGGTTGGTCCCTGAGACTTTCAGAAGAATTCACAAAATCAAAACTCTTTTCACCAAAATAATAAATACTAAGATTTTTTTTTTTAATTCTCATTCTCTCATGAGTATATAGTGGATTTTTCCAAAGGCTAAATGAGGTATGATGGTTTCATTGCTCCAACAAATAATGGAATGTGTTCTCACATATATATTCTGATGTCTTAAATTTTTCTCAGTTTTAATTTGTAATATAGTAAATATCAATAGATATGACACAAACGTACAAAAGCTATTTTGGATAGTCAATAATTTTGAAGAATCCTGAGACCTAAAAGTTTGAGAATTGCTTCCTTATATCAGTGATCATCTTGTACTATTGTAGGAGATACCTAAGGCCCATCCATTCTTTATGTTCCCAAAGTGAAGATGAAATCCATTTCAGTCCCTAAGAAGGAAAGTATAGAAAGAACATTTCCAGCTTTTATGTGCCCCTCAGCACTCTTCCTCAGACTTACCTCATTTGCTAATTTTGGAGAAAAACTGAGCATGCTTATCTGGTTCCTTCTCAGTTTTTTTCCTTCTTTTAGAAGTCAGCCTGTCTAAAGGATGCATACATTTTCTGCTCCCCCATGTGGAAGTAGATGAGGCCTGTGGCTGAGTAAAGCTGTGAACTCTTTCCAAGCCCATTGGCTACAGATCTAAAGGTAAATTCTCCAATTATCTTTATCAGTAATAAAGGTTGATACTTTGATCATCATTTATCATTATCCTGTGGCTTTTCTTGATAGATTCTGAGCTTAGGAAAAGAAGACAGTGGTTAATACCTTAGCCTCCCTTCTTAAACCTCTGGCACTTCATGCTCCATCTTTCCTTTGAGCTGATCATCTGTTCTCACACTACATTAAGAAAAGAGAAACCATGAGAGAGCACTACTACCTCATAGATCCACTACCAGATCTACAATCTTAGTTGTACTTGTATCCATTTTTCCTGCCTTATCTCTTTTACAGGGGAAAAAAGTATCCATATACTTAGACAAATGTAAACGTATCACTTGTGCTCTGAATACCATCCCCAAGCCCTCTCCAGTTTCTTTTCCTTTATATTCTTGCTCTACTCTTGCAGTGCCAATTTCAGTCTGTCTACTGGATCATTCAGCTATCACACAGATATATTCCATTATTATCCCCTATTTTTATATAGGAAAAAAAACTCGACTTCATGTGTTGACTTCAGGTACCACCTCATGTTTTGGCTCCCATTCAAATCTAAACACCTTGTAGGAATTGTCCATACTTGTCGTCTCTGCTTCTTTCCCTGTAACTCAGTTTTTTTTTTTTTTATTTTATTTTATTTTTTTTTTTTTTTTTTTTTTTTTTTTTTTAAGATTTTATTTATTTATTTGAGACAGAGAGAATGAGAGACAGAGAGCATGAGAGGGAGGAGGGTCAGAGGGAGAAGCAGACTCCCTGCCCAGCAGAGAGCCCGATGCGGGACTCGATCCCGGGACTCCAGGATCATGACCTGAGCTGAAGGCAGTTGCTTAACCAACTGAGCCACCCAGGCGCCCTGTAACTCAGTTTTTAACAAACTTGTATCAGTCTTCTGTTTTCATATCTCTACTAAAGCTACATTGTTGGGGTTACCAAGGATGGCAGTGTTAGAAAATCCTGCTTACCTTACTTGGCTTCGTGGCAGATTAGACATGACTAATTAGCTATTCCTTCCTTGGAACTTTCTTTCTGGCAGCTTCAAGACACCAGAGGCTACACAATTTAGTATCCTCTCTTCCTCAATCTCTTTCTCTTCCTCTACTCAATTTCGAACTGTTGGAACGCCTCAGAGCTCTACCATGGGCCCTTTACTGTCTGTGTCCTATGTATATTCACCCCCTGGATAATCCAGTCCAGACCATGGCTTTATATACCATCCATATGTTAGCGATGCTCAGTTTTATATCTGGAGCCCTGGCCTCTCCTTTCAGCAATAAATTCATATATTATTGTAGTAGTTGTAGTAGTAATTATGATTATTTCCATTTGTTGGCTATTATGAATAATGCTGCTATGGCTGTTCATATGCAAGTCTGTGTGTGAACATGTTTTCATTTCTCTTAGATTGCTATCAGTGAGTTGAATTGCTGGGTTGTATGGTAAATTTATCTTTCATTTTTAAGAAACTCCTAAATGTTTTCCAAAATGGCTGCATCATGTTACATTCCCATTCTTAAATGTGGTTATTTGTCTTATTATTGTCAGAGTTCTTTATATATTCTAGATATAAGTCCTTTAGCAGATACATGATGTGAAAAAATGTCCTCCCAGTCTGGGGCTTGTCTTTTCATTTTTCTTAATAGCAGCTTTTTGAAGTGCAAAAGCTTTCAATTGTTTTGAAGTGCATTTATCAAAATTCGTTATGGATCCTGTTTTTAACGTCATATCTAAAAATTCTTTGCCTAACCCAAGGTCATGAAGATTTTCTCCTATATTTACATTTAAGTGCATGATCCATTTCAGGTTAATTCTATGTATGATTTTAGGAAGAGTATAAATTTGTCTTTTTTTATGTGGCTGTCCAGCTGTCCTAGCACCATTTGTTGAAAAGATGATCCTTTTCCTGTTGAATTGCCTCCGCAACTTTGTCAAAAAGCAACTGACCATAACTATAAGGGTTTATTTTTAGACTCTCAAGTGTATTCCATGATGTATATTTCTATCTTTATGCATATAATAAAGACTCTTAAGAGGGTTAAATGTCATCAGTTTGGGGAAAAATTGACTTAGGGCCTTCTCAGTGAAATATTAGCATTTATATTTTGCAGTTTAATGATTAGAGCAATCTGAACTCTTTTTTTTTTTCTTATTTAGAATGCTTAATAGAACTTGAACCAGTTCTGAGGACATTTGAAGAGATAAATTTTCTTGAAGCTGTTATTCAGCTAAAGAAAACAAAGGTAAATTGCTAAATGAAATAGTAGAAATTGAATTTAAAACAATCATATATTATTCATGGAGATTTTCAGCTTAGTTTAATTTAGTTATTATCTATATATTTTTCACACATATAGGCTACAGTTTAACAGAGACTATGAATACTGTTTTCTCTGTCACCAAAGAGCTTTTCCATTTCATTCAAATGCCACTTCTAGATTTCAGAGGCATTTCCAGAACTCCCATATATGAAATGTAAGCTTAAAACGTGTAATGACTGCCTGTTATGTACAATGAATGCCCTAAATCACTAGGGTTTTTTACCCTGTATTTCTTAACCTAAAGTTTTAGTATATAGAGAGTAATAGAAGTCTGGGTTCTTACACTTCTTTTTATTCAGTGTTCTTGGGCTTTTTTTGAGATTTATTGCCAAGTTAAGCTATAGAATTGTATTAATAATTGAAGCCAAAATGTATAGTTTTAATGCTTTATTTTATTTTGTTTTGTTTTCCCACTCAAAAACTCTATTATATAAATCAAAGTAACAGTTGATATGAATTACTTAGAACAATTGTCTTATTTACTCATTCTGGCATTTGTAGATTAGAACAATTGAAGGGACCTATTACTGCAAGGTTTTCTTAATATTATCAAAATTTGTTTAAAAAGCAACTACAGGGGCACCTGGGTGGCTCAGTCGGTTAAGCATCTGCCTTCGGCTCAGGTCATGATCCCAGCGTCCTGGGATCGAGTCCTGCATCACTTCTCCTTTTCCCTCTGCCTGCAGCTCCCCCTGCTTGTGCTCTCTCTCTGTCAAATAAATATATAATATCTTTTAAAAATAAATAAATAAATAAATATAAAAAGCAACTACAGTCCTTTAGGGACAAAGTAAGCATAGTTGAATACTTGCTGAGTTTCATTAAATTGCATCTGAGATATAATAATAAAAATAATCAGTTATTAACCAAAGTCTTGAGTTGTAAACAAGCATAGTCTACAGTTTATGTATCATTAAATGACATTGATTGCCTCTTGCAGTTTGCTGTATCTTTTGACATAACCTTTAGTTTAAGAGGGAAATGCATGAAGAAACAGCCACCTTTAGCCAAACTAAAAATTGATGGTGGCAGTATTAGTGCCTGTGTTTTAAGGAACTAGAGAACTGTGTTTCCATTCTTTTGATAACTTTTCACTGACCTCCCTGCTTCTGAGTAGGTACAGTCTTTTCTAGAACATTCCAATCTCTCCACTTCTTAGTAGCTATAAACTTCTGTTATATATATATATATATTTTTTTTTTTTTTTTTTTTTTGCTTTATCTTTTCAGTTCTCTTTTCTCTCCTTACAACTTTCTCTTCTTCTGCCAAGCAAAGGTGGATAGAAGAATTTGTTCTCTTGGTTATAAAGTGGAAGAGAACCATTCCAGTTCTTTTTTTTTTTTTTTTTTTTGTCCCCAAACAACTTAAACACTAGGATCTATATTTTTTTCACTTTTTTAAATTTTAATTCAATTAATTAACATAATGTATTATTGGTTTCAGAGGTGCAGGTCTGTGATTCATCAGTCTTATATAATACCCAGTACTCATTACATCACATGCCTTCCTTGATGTCCATCATCCAGTTACCCCATTGCCTCACCCCTCTTGCCTGCAGCAACCCTCAGTGTGTTTCCTATGATTAAGAGTCTCTTACGGTTTGTCTCCCTTTCTGGTTTCTTCTTGTTTTATTTTTTCCTCTCTTCCCTATGGTCCTCTGCCTTGTTTCTCAAATTCTACATATCAGTGAGATCATATGATAATTGTCTTTCTCTGATTGACTTATTTTGCTTAGCATAATACCTTCTAGCTCCATCTACATCATTGCAAAACACTATGATCTATATTTAAAACTGTTAATTTTTTAGGAGAAATTTAGGCTTTTTATATAAAATAAAGTACATATTTTCAAATACCTGAATACCATTTAATAATAGCATTGCTAAATTACTAAAACATTACTTTCTTTGTTGTTCTTAAGTAGCTCTATTGTTTTTACTCAGAATTTTAGTATTTTTTTCTATTTAAAAATATTCTTTATCAATTCTGTGAAACTGGTAGGGGAAGAATATCGTCTCTATTTATGGATAAGACACTGAGGTATAGGAAAGTTACACAACACTCTACACAGCTAGCTAATGGCAGGGCCAAGAGTAGAATACAAATTTAATAAGATTTTTCATCAGGAAACTTCTGGGGGCACCTGGGTGGCTCAGTCAGTTAAGCTCCTGACTCTTGATTTTGGCTCAGGTTGTGATCCCAGGATCATGAGATCAAGCCCCACATCAGGCTTCGCACTCAATGCAGAGTTTGCTCCAGGTTCTCTCCCTCTCCCTCTGCCCCTCCTACTTAAGCATGCACGCATGCTCGCTCTCTCGCAAATAAATAAATAAAATCTTTAAAAAAAAAAAAAAAAGGAAAGAAATTTCTGAAAACCCAGGGCTCCTGGGTGGCTCAGTCAGTTAAGCATCCGCCTTCGGCTCAGGTCATGATCCCAGAGTCCTGAGATCAAGCTGGCATCAGGCTCCCTGCTCAGCGGGGAGCCTGCTTCTCCCTCTCCCTCTGCTCTTACTGCCCCCCACCCTTGCCATGCTCTCTTTCAAATAAATAGATAAAATCTTTTTTAAAAAGAAAGGAAAAGAGGGAGGGAGAGGAAGAGAGGGAGGGATTTCTGAAAACAAAGACCACCAGTTAGGGTGACTTGTTTTGTTTGATGTTCCTACATTTTTTCCAGTTCTTTGAACCAGGTCCCATAAATCATGTTTTCAAAGATAGCCTTTCCTATATCTTAAAAAGTAAAAACTGAACCAAAAGAAGTTTTTCCTTAATATTACATTTCATTTCTTTCTAAGGGTTGATTTACTAGTTCATAAATAATATGAATTATCATAACATCAGTTATGAGAAATGATGTTATTAATTCAAGGATATTGCATTCTCAGAAATGTTTCAATAAATTTAAAAAAACAGAAAAACTTATATAACAGAGACAGATCCAAAGAATAATTCTAAAGGTTCACATAAAAAGGTATTTAACAAATGCTCATTGGACTGCTTTGTGCAAAGTACTATGCTAGGTGGATTATATATACAGATGAATAGTGATTTTTTCTTCTAAAATTCCTTACCCGTGTAATGGAGCAGGCAGTCATATAAGTATGAATATGGAGGGCTGGTGTAGTACCCACCAATTTCTAAAGTTCTGTAGAGCAGTTGACATTATGTTGGTTTGGAGAAGAGAAGCATACTACAGGCTTGTTTTTTAAAATCACTCACTAGTGATGGCAGCTAATCCAACTGGTTTATAGAGGTGGGAGTAAATCACTAAATGATTTTAATACAGAGGTTTAGCATATAAATAAATCATCTGCTTAATAGCTAACATGTACTGAATGCTTACTAAGTAATCTTAGGACTTTTTTTGTTTATAATCCTCCTTACAATAATCCTGCAAAATAGGTATTCTTATCTCCAGTTTACAGAACGGTAAACTGAGAGTAAGTCTCATGCCTAAAATCCAATAGTTAAGTATCCTGGGATTCTACACCAGACCTGACTGGCTACATGATCCCCATCATTCCATTAGGACACTCTGTATCCTTTACTTTAGCCCTCAGTTTCTTATCTGTAAAACGAAAATAATACTTGTACTTACCAGCACAGTGCCTAAAATACAGTAAATACTTAAAAATTATGATAGATACATAGATACATATACTTACACAAATTGAAATTTATTAAGTACCTAGTTTATACCTTCTGTTCATTATCTCACTTAATCTCTTAAACAATCCGGCATGTAGGTATTAGTCCATCTTTTTTTTTTTTTTTTAGATTTTATTTATTTATTAGAGAGAAAGCAAGAGAGAGAGAGAGAGCACGAGTTGGGTGGGGGGGCAGAGGGAAAGGGAGGAATAGACTCCCAGCTGGGCAGGGAGCTCAACACGGGGCTCCGTCCCAAGACCCTGGAATCAGGACCTGAACTGAAGGCAGATGCTTAACCAACTGAGCTACCCAGGCATCCCCAGTATTAGTACATCTTTAAAGATAAATTTGCTCAAGGTAACCAAATGATATGAGGCAGGATTCAAAGTCTGTTTCTCTAGTTATTACCTTTAGGTTTTATATTTATATCCTCAAATGATTTAACTTTACTTTCCAGTGATTTTGTATAAACATATAAAGTATGTTAAGCAGATTGTATTTTACTCACATAATTTCCTAATCACCTTCAACTAAAGGACATATATGCATTCATTCCAGTTAAAGAGTGCCTCAAGCACTGTTCACTTATGTGACAAGAAGAAAATGGAGTCATCTCTGAACATACCTGTAACTCATGGACCACAGGAGGTAAAAAAATTATGTTGATAAACTCAAAATATGAGAAGAAAATGAAAAATCATTTAGTCTTAATTCCTTCCTTTATATGTGGGAAGCTAAAACCCCAGGAGATTTTAAGATTTATTAGGTAGCCGATGGCAATCTCCATTTCAGACTCCAACACTCCTAATTTTCACGCCACTGTTCATTTCATTGAATCATATATAGTCCTTGCTTCTTTGTTTGCCATTAACTTTAGTCCCTGTAATTGTTTCATATAATGAATGGTGTTCCAATGTGTCCATAGGCAAATCATTGATTACATTTTTACCATTATATTTATGCCTTCTTATCCAAATGTAAACTAGCTATAATACTGCTTTGTCCTTACCTCTTACAATGATTAATGAAAGGCAAAATGCCATTTCTGTGGCTATCTAAAAGGAAAGATTTCTTTAGTAGCATTCATTCATATTTCAAATTAATAATTTCTCCTAAGAATATATAAGATTTGTTTTATATATGTGTTTCTTTAATTTTATAAGGTATAAATTGTAATAGTTTTTATTCTTTTTTATAGTAAACTAAAATCAAGAACTATTCAGAAATTAAAGCTATTTAACTTTAAAATGATTTTCTATTAACCTAAATCATTTATCTTCTATTTACTTTAGGAATCGTGTGGATCCCCTCAACCCCATGAAAGTAGTGATTCTAGTAGAGCCTCAAAGTCCCTGTCAGCATCTCCAGACAATGATTTTTTATCTAGTATGTAAATTTTTCAGTCAGTATTACTTGCAGGTTTTCCATTTTTTTTAAGATCATATTATTGGTAAGCAGTCATGGTTTGTATGGAACACAGCTTTCATCTGTAGCCATAACTCATTTTTTAAAAGTGTTAGAATCCTAAGTTGTGAAAAGAGTAGTGGGATGTTCCATAAATACATTAAAATATTGAATGCATTGTGTTCAACTTTGTGAAATATATTTAAAAAAATACTTTCTAAGAGAAGAGAAATGTTTCTGAGTAACCATAGTATGAGATAGAAAGTGATGTATTGTAAAGGAGATACAATGTAGAGCTATGGTAATACACTGGAAAAGTAACATTTTTTATAAAGCATTTCACAACAACCTTGTGAGGGAGATATTCCTCATTTTACAGATTTTTAAAATCAAGACTTCCTGGATCACATAGTTAGTAGCTGGCAAATCCAAGACTTGAAGCCAGGTCTTTTGATAAATATTTTCATGTCACTCCACTACACCATGTTGTCATCATGAAGAAATTGTTTCTGACTGAAGGTTGGACCTATAGTTATAAAGATGGGCATTCCAGGCAAAAGGAACAACATAGAGGCACAGAAGCAAGAAAACACAGAGAACAGTGAGTAGTTGGTTTTAGCTGGTAAAGAGGATGAATGAAAGGAGATAAAAGATCAATAGGGTGGAGTCATATCATCACAAATTCTAACACTTGGCGGAGCTATTTGGGCTTTTTCACTTGGGTAGGGAGCAACTATTGCAGATATTTGAGCAAGGGTGTGACATGATAAAAATTTTTTGCTTTAGGAAGATTCGTCCTGGCTGGAATATGTATGGAAGGAAAAGGAGAATGCAGATGGGGAAACCAATTAGTAGACTGTTGGTCTGTTACTGTAATATACATGAGAGGTTATGAGACCTGATCCAGAATACAAGAAGGGAGAAATGATGAGAGAAATGTTATGGAGGACACACTGAAGGAGTTTATAGAATTCTACTTGTAGGAAGGAAGAGAGAAAAAAAGAGCGAACAAGTTGTCAAGCCTGGTGACTGGGAGAACATTGATGCTATTAACAGAAATAGTTGAAATAGGTTTTAGAGTTAGATGAATAATTAAGTTTTTAATTTTTTTTTCAAATTTGAGGTGCTTAGCAGTGCATATGAGGTTGATGTCTAGTGGACTGTTGAAAATGTAAGACTAAGGCTCAGTGAAGACAGGAAATTTAATTATATAGATTTTGGAAGAGAGGTGACAGTTGAGACCCTGAGGTTGAATAGGATTACCGAGGAAGAGTGTAGAAAGACACATATCATAAATAGATTTAGAAGACACATTTAAAGTACAGAAGAAGAAGAAGACACAGAAGAAATATGGGATTATGTGAAGAAGTAAAATTTCATGATTTATAGTTTATATAAAACTGACAAGCCAGACAGAAGTGTGGTAAAAACATTCATTATAAACGCATTTTTGTTCTAAAATATATTTACTTGTGGAATTAGGTTTATGAACCAGCTTTAATAACAGTGAAAATTTAAACACATTGAATACTATCCTCTGTGTGACCCAAATGTTGATATTTTAGCTAATAGGAATAGCTAAGGACTATCCTACCCCTAATGAAGATACTGTGTTTTGTAGGAAAAACTCAAGACTTTTCTACGCTGTGTCACTATCCAGTAAATCACAGTTGCAATAGTAACATTTCTGCAGCTCAAAAGGGGACATTTTGTGATTACAAGACCACCCTATGCTCTTTAACAGTAATAAATCCAGTCCCAGCTGAGGGAAACTCAGGTAAATATTTAGCACTTTGTAAATGATGCTGTTTATCTCGCAACTATATGTTCAGTATATTTGCCATGCAATAAGTTTTATTTGTCTTTATTTCTTCAACATGATAAATATATACCTTCTTAAGTAGGAAAGTACTTCCAATCCTAGGAGATAAGAGTGCTAACATGTAATAATAGGCCCACATGGTATTCCATGAACATCTAACATCTGTGTAGGGAGGGAGTGCTAAAAGGAGGTGTGACTTAATATGTTACTAAAGGTAAAGTTATTTTTGTTTATTTAAAAATATGCAGATATCCTTTATATTAAAAAATATATATCTATAAGATAGATTGGGTTTTGCCCCCGTGGATTTATAGTATATAAAAAGGCTTTTTCTGGGAAGGGAACTGGAGTGTTTCCTGAAAATTAGCAGCATCCTCCAAAATACTTGTATTCCATATTAGCATAATCGTAGAAAATTAGGGGTTTTATTCCTTATTACTTCTTTGTTCATCCAATGTTACTCATAGCTGTTTACCTGTCCTCACTCATTTGTCATGCCTTGCTCTTCTGCAGTACGATCACAGCCTGGCATAGCCCAACAGTGGATCCAGAGTAAAAGGGAAGACATTGTGAGCCAGATGACAGAAGCTTGCCTTAACCAGTCACTAGACGCTCTTCTGTCCAGGGACTTGATCATGAAGGAGGACTATGAACTCATTAGTACCAAACCTACAAGAACCTCAAAAGTCAGGCAGTTACTGGACACCACTGACATCCAAGGAGAAGAATTTGCCAAAGTTATAGTACAGAAGTTGAAAGATAACAAGCAAATGGGTCTTCAGCCTTACCCAGAAATACTTGTGGTTTCTCGATCACAATCTTTAAATTTATTTCAAAATAAAAGCTTATAAGGGACTCTTTTTCAAGAAGAAAAGTCATTCTATAAAAGGGTATTTTATTTCTCTGTTGCCTTTATCTTATCGGCTTTATAAAATCCACATGAGTATTAGAAGCATTAATGAAGTTTCTTCTTCAGGTAAATATTAGTCTTCTTCCATGACATTATAGTATTTTTTAAAATTAATATATTAGAAAGTCTGCATTTTGCTACAGAGTTCAATTGTCTGTCTCTTTGGTTAATTGAAATTATTTTTTAAATGTAATAATTATATTCTTGTATATAACAATGTCTTAAGGTATGATGCATTTCTCATGGAAGCCATTTTCATATTCATTTTCTTTGTGGGTTATTTATTACTTGTCTAAGATGCAGTTTGGCTTTTGGAAATGTAGCCTTTATACTTAAATTAGAGCTAGTACAGCATTTCTAACCTATAGTGCCAGGTTCAAATCCTCACCAAAAGGTTGTTCATTAAACTTTGTTATCCAGATTACAGTTTTAAATCCTATTCATTGAATTCTTCTTTAAAAAAAAAATGTTTCAAAGGTAAAATGACACAAAGTCTATGGAGAAAAAATTAATCTTTCAATATATGTTTCTACCCTCATTTCTAACCTCAACTAGCAACCAAGGTGACCAAAAATTAACAGCACACTGTTTATCCTTCTATGCCCTTCTTCCTACTCGTATGTATACATTCACGTGGGAAAGGGTCTTTCATTAATATTATTATAATACATCATATTACAACCTAATTTTTGCACTCAATAGTACATCATGTACAGCCTTCCAGATCATGAATAAATCTAACTCATTCTTTTTAATTGCTGCATAATGTCAAGGCTGCTTTTTTATTTTTTTAACTTATTCACCAAGTTTAGCCAAAACAATATAGTGTGAGTAATTTTTTTAATAGCTTATGTCACTAAGTGAAAATTTACAAGGCATAATCCCCCTTCTGAAAATGTTTATTAATAATGTCAGCAAAAAGTATGATGCAGGATAAATTCTAAACAAACTTTCAAGAAGCACCAGATGCACAGTATGAAAAAAGAAGGAGAAGGAGATTGGGGCAATTAAATATTTTATTAAAATTGTAAAATAAGTATTTTAATCTCCATTTGGAGCTTGACATTAACCTGTGGCACCTTATTACTCTGAGAAATACGGAAATTAGTAGGGAAAAATAGAAACCAATTAAGTATATGAGTGATCTATTATATCTCTTATTTTTAAGGTGTTAGGATAAAGATTTAACTTGAGAAATAAGTTGAGAAGATGGGATTGTTTTAGGTTGTACATAGACACAGCACTAAATAACATTTAAGTCAAATAGTAAGGAAGTTCTTTTCAGTTCTTCCTTGAGCCTTCTAATTAAGTAAAGGAGAATGTCACAGTCGTGCTGTCATCTTTTAATCCCCCTTGTTAAGAAAAAGAAGAGGCTTCAGAACTTCAGAAACAATATTTAGCGGGCACCTGTGTGACTCAGTCATTAAGCATCTGCCTTCGGCTCAGGTCACAATCCCAGGGTCCTGGGATCAAGTCCCACAACAGGCTCCTTGCTCAGTGGGAAGCCTGCTTCTCCCTCTCCCACTCCCCTTCCCCCCTGCTTGTTCTCTTTCTCTCTCTCAAATAAATAAATAAAATTCTTTAAAAAAATATTTAGCAAGAATTTTGTAGTTTTTTAAATTGTATTTTATTTGAAAATGACCTACATATGACAAGTGGTACTGATTTTGTATTTATAATGTTTCATTTTATAATATTCAAATAAAAAGACAAGCAGAAATACTAAATTGTGATATAGGAAATACATGAGTGTGACAGCAAACATAGAAGTAGTGGAAGGATGACATTAAGATTGTCACTCAAGGAAGGGACCTAATAATCTATAATTATCCGGGTTTTTTTTTAACTAGATAGTACTAGATGATCTGAAAATGTCATTCTTTGCAGTGTATTTTAAAAGAGTTTTACCCATAAGTGTAGTCCACAGAGCAGCTGCATTAACATCACCTGGAGCTTGTGAGAAATGCAGCCTCATGGCCCCTATCTCAAACCTGAATCAATCCCAGGTAGGAAGGTTTAGAAATCTGTTTTAACAAACCATCCAGGCCATTATGTGTGCTAAAGTTTGAGACTCTGGTTTTTTTTGTTTGCTTTTTTTACTGTGATTTTTTTTTTTTTTTTTTTGTAGTTGTCACCTTGGCCTTTTTTTTTTTTTTTTTTTATGTTATGTTAGTCACCATACAGTACTTCATTAGTTTTTGATGTAGTGTTCCATGATGAAGGGGGGGAAATTAGAGGGGAAGATGAACCATGAGAGACTATGGACTCTGGGGAAACAAACTGAGGGTTTCAGAGGGGAGGGGGTGGGGGGGATGGGTTGACCAGTGATGGGTATTAAGGAGGGCACGTACTGCATGGAGCACAGGGTGTTACACGCAAACAGTGAGACTCTTTAAGAAATGCAATAGAATTATGCATAAAATAATTTCCCTTTAGTTTCACAAATCTGTTTTCCTTATGTCCATTTGCCACATTTGTCTTCAGGATATATAGTCTCAGAACTGAGGTTTGATTAGTAAATTTAACTTTTTTTCTTTTTGCATCTGCTTGAATTCCCAAAACAATTATAGACATGTTTTACATTTTGGAAAAATCATTTAAACATGATAATCTGATCAGTAGATTGAATCTACCACTCAGCTTTTTAAAGAAGTACTTAAGAACGGGACAAACACTCAAATTATGACAGCAGAAGAGCAGAGCTGATGTGGGACAAGACAAGAAGCAAGAATAAATTTGCTGAAAGTTATACTAAAGAAATTGACATCACTATGAAAGACTGGGCTGTGGCAGTGGCAGTATCCAGCAGTGGGGGCTGGTTTTTATCTTCTTCCTCTGTCATTAATTCTCTGCTCACCCTCCCCCACCCCAAATACTCAATTTCCTAATTTACGAAGAAAAATTATCAATTGGGAGAACAGAAGAATCAGTAATCTTTCATGTTAAGCCATCCTCACAAACATGTCATTGGCTTCAGAAATGTGTTTCTTCTCTACAATCTCCACTCCCATCTCTCAGAACCCAGTTCCCAATCTCCTGCTTTTCCACCCCTTCTCCCCTGGACCCTTTCTTTTTTTTTTTTCAATGTCAAACACCCAGATTTCTTTTAAAAACAAAATTCCTTTGCTTGACTTGTCTGTACCTTCTCATCCTTTTCCTGGAAAATTATGCTGCCTTTACTCTTGTTGCCAATTTCATTCTTAATCTTTTAAAATTTTTAAAGGGACACTCAGGTGGCTCAGTCAGTTAAGCATCCAACTTGATTTCAGCTCAGGTCATGATCTGAGAGTCCTGGAATCAAGCCCTGCATCAGGCTCCAAGCCTGGCAAGGAGTCTGCTTGAAGATTCTTTCTCTCTCCCTCTGCCACCCCCCTGCTCTCTCTCTCTCTAAAATAAATTAGTAAATATTTAGAGAGAGAGAGAAAGCACAAGCAGGGGGAGGAGCAGAGGAAAAAAATCCTCAAGCAGACTCCCTGACCAGCTCAGAGCCTGATGCAGGGCTCAATTCCAGGACTCTGAGATCATAACCGATCCAAAATCAAGAGCTGAATGCTTAACTGACTGAGCCACCCAGGTGTCCCTAATCTTTTAAGTTGTTTTTTTTTTTTTTTTTAAGATTTTATTTTTATTTTTGTGAGAGAGAGAGAGAATGTGCATGCATGAGCAGGGGAGAGGGGCAGAGGGAGAAGCAGACTCCCCACTGAGCAGGGAGCCTGATGTGGGACTCGATCCCAGGACCCTGGAATCATAACCTGAGCCAAAGGCAGACACTCAACAGACTGAGCCACCCAGGCGCCCCACTTTTAAAATTTGATGTCATAGAATTAATGAATCTCTAGGTTGAAAGGAATAATTATACATGGTTATGCCTCAAATTCCTCAAATAAACACATTAGATATACAAATATCTCAGGATCAAAAACTTCTATTGATGTTGGAGGAGGCTATTACCTATTCAGGTCATGTTCTTCATGTCTAGACAGTTCTGTCAGTTCTTTCCTACATTGATTTAAAAATCTATTTCCCTAGTGTATGTATCTATCGGTCCTGGTTCCAAACATTGGGATAGTCTATATAGAGTACATCTATTCCCTCCCCCACATGACAGCCCTTTATAATATTTCCAGATAACTTCTATTCCTGAGGACTTTTGTTTTTACTTTGAAATAATCCCTTCTTCCTTCAGTTGCTATTTAAGAGGTATGTTCTGTATTTCTTTGAAAGTATGGTACCCATAACTGCATGTGATAACTTTTAATCCATTTAGGTCTTGTCAGCACAGTTGGGATATCTCTTCTCTTGAAAGTAATATATTAAAAGCCTATTTTTTAACAATGACATGACATTGCTTAGTTGATATTTAACTAAAATGAGCTAAAAATCCTCTGTCTTTTGTAACTATGCTGTTTTGCCTTATCTCTCCTTTTTTATACTCAAAGTTGGGTTGGGTTTTTAGTCCATATATAACACTATGCCTTTATCCCTCTTAATTTTTCTAAAATTTTTCTAAATTCATTCTAATTCCAGCAGTGCACTCAGTATGGTTTTGATTCCTAAATCTGGCATCTCCCAGCTTGTCATCCACAAACTTGACAAAGTTTCCTTTTGTAATTTCATCCAAGTTACTAATTAAAATTTTGAATGGTACTGGGCTAAGGAAAAGTCTGCAAAATGCCACAGGCTTGCTCCCTTCAACATGACAAATCTCAACTAATCATCACTATTAAGGTACAACCATGTACCTATTCACTAATGAACATAACTGAAATATTCTTAAAGTGTTACACGATATCATAAAAGACTACGTAATCTACAAGTTTAACCAAATAATCTCTATTTCCAGGTCAGTTTTTAAAGCATTGGCTTATTTTTTCATCCAAAATGTGTGTTTCAATGTAAGTACACTTTTCTTAGGGGTTTGGGGGCTGAGTACATTAAAATATTAAAAAGGAACATGTCTCCTGTCCTTACATAGAAAAAATATGGTATTGCTCAGGCTCTGCTTAAGAAGTCTAGATGCAAGGCACTGTGTCCACCAAAATCTCATGATTTAAGGATACCAACTGTATAAAGAATCCCCAAATTAAACATCTGAAGAAAAAAAAACTAAGAAAATTAAAGATTACACAGAAAACAACTTTAAAATAAGTATAAATAATACCCTTAGAGAGATTTGAGTGGATATATCTTTAAAATTACAAGTTGCTATGAAATAGAAACAAACATCTAGAAAAAGTTCAAACTATGTTCCTCAAAATAATAACCCAGAAGTTGTTTATTCATTTTTTTAAAGATTTTTATTTATTTGAGAGAAAGAGAGCATGCATGCATGAGTGGGGCAGGAGGTGGGGGGGGGGGGGGGGAAGGAGAGGGAGAAGCAGACTCCCCACTGAGCAGGGAGCTGGACACAGGGCTCCATTCCAGGACCCTGAGATCATGACCTGAGCTGAAGGCAGACGCTTAACTGACGGAGCCACCGAGGGGCCCCCATAAACTGTTTATTCTTAAAACCCGTCCCACTTCTCATTCCACTACTGACCTAGGGAGTTTGTTATGGTAGATAATTAGTCTGCAACATCCATAATCTGTGGTTGATTCCTTTATGAGGATATTTCGAGACCCTGAGCAAATGGGTAACTACCAATAAAATAGCTAAAAGTGTTTTCATTTCCAGTTTGAAGTCTCTTCCCCTCGTTAAGAATACAAAAAAGAAAAAATTAATCGGTTCTTTATTGATTTATGTGGTTAAGTGAGAGTATGGCTGAAATGACCAGATACTCTGCTTGTTCAGAAAGGACATAAAGAGGGGCGCCTTTGTGGCTCAGTCGGTTAAGCCTCTGCCTTTGGCTCACATCATGGTCCCAGGTTAAGAGTCCGCCTTCGGCTCAGGTCATGATCCCAGGGTCCTGGGATCCAGCCCCGCATCAGGCTCCCTGCTCCACAGGAAGCCCTCTTCTCCCTCTCCCACTCCCCATGCTTGTGTTCCCTCTCTCGCTGTGTCTCTCTGTCAAATAAATAAATAATCTTAAAAAAAAAAAAAAGAAAAGAAAAAGAAAGGACATAAAGAGACTGGACAGAATATGATTTACTTTCTGGCATTTTACCAATCAGAAATTAAGTTTCAACCTGTGGACCTTATATGATTTAATAAGATAAAATCATGCTCTGGATTTTTCCGTTATTCCACAGGGAGAAACTACTTTGCATAGGCTGTCAAACCTTAATTTTTCTCTTTATTTTTTTCACTTTTCTTGGTGAGAAATTTTAAGTTCTAGTCTCTTAGCATATTTTGATTAAACAATATAGTCATGTCAGTTATAATCACCATGTTTAACATTAGATCCTCAGGCTTATTCATCTTATAGCTGAAAGTTTGTACCCTCTTACAAACCTTTTCCTATTTCTCCTACCCTCCAGCTCCTGGCAACAACTTTTCTACTCTGTTTCTGTGAGTAGAAGGATAACTTCTAAAGTATAACTTTTTTTTTCTTTTCAGCTTCCACACATAAGTAGTATCATGCAGCATTTATCTTTATCTGGCTTATTTCATTTAGCATAACGCCCTCAAATTCCATCCATATTGTTGCAAATGGCAAGATTTCCTTCTTTCTCATGGCTGAGTGTATTCCAGTGTGTGTGTGTGTGTGTCATATCTTTTTCATCCATTCATCCATTGAGGTACATTTAAGTTTTTTCTGTATCTTGGCTATTGTAAATAAAATTTTTCTTTTAAAAGAAAAGAATAAAAAGCTGTTTTTCTGTACTATTTCTTTACTGTTTTGATACCTTTTTACTGCTGTGATCTGCTTCCCATTAACCTGAACTTGGTGAGTTTTCAGTGATTCATATGGCATGTCTGGTCTGGACAAAAGCATTTTAGAGGCTAATAAATACAGACTGTTTTCAGAGACTCAGAGAAAAACTTTTGTATGTTTCCTTCTAGGCAAACTCAGATTTTGGCATAATTGTTCTTCAATTCGGTGACATGTATTCAAAATTGTTTCCTTAAATATTCTTTGAACCTCAGAAATAATTAAATATTTAGGGTGTTAGAATGGAAGAAATGCAATACTGATGGATAAATTGTAGTGAACAAAGTATTTCTTAAGGGAAAATTTCCTCTCAGTAGGCATAAAAAGGCCTACAATCTCTACCAAAAGCCCCAACCTACTTTTGAGATTATAAAAGTTTTTCACTGGAAAACACTGCAGAAATTCCCAGTGGGCTAGCAGAGGGAGAAAGGATTTAAAAGTAGTAGCTAAGTTGACACCCTGGGCACATTCTGGTAAGGAAAAAAAAAAAAAGCCACAATTGCCTCAGACAGCATCATCCAGTGTTAGATTTCTTGACTTCTTGCTGATGTACCCTCTCCCTGACAAGGAATGTAACAATGAAATTTACTATTCATTCATTCTAGAAATCACTAGTGAATACTAACCATGTGTCAGGTAGTAGAGATGCAATGAAAAAGGTAAAAAGCCTGTCCTCAAGGGATATATATTCTAGTGGGAGAGGAAGACAATACACAAACAAGAATTGGACAAATTTATTTAAGTGAATAGAATCCCATCAAATAACAATTAGTGTTGTGAAGGAAACAAAGAATAGTGGGTTTCAGAGGGATTGGAGGAGAAGGACCTACCTTAGATTAAAAAATGATTAGGATACTTTTTCAAAAAGCAAGGTCTGAGAGATTTCCCCCAGTGAAGAAGAGGTGCCTGACAGGTGAATATTAGGAGGATGAGTGAGGCCAATGTTAATGGAGGTGGTGACTGAGGACAAGGGAGCTGTGAGCCGAAGCCACAGTAGTAAGAAGAGGCCGGAATCACATAGGACTTTGGGGAAGAGTTTGAATGTCATGATAGTGTAACGGAAGCCACTGGATAAATTCAAGCAGAGAAATGATATGATGTACTGTAGTTTACATATTTGAAGATTACTAAAGATGACTAGAGAGGGGCTAGATGATGCCTGGACTGCAGTGGGTAGAAATGACCAGATTTCAAAATTGATTGATGGGATTTGATACATTTTTTTAAAGATTTTATTTATTTATTTGAGTGAGAGAGAGAGAGAGAAACAGCATGAGAGGGGATAGGGTCAGAGAGAGAAGCAGGCTCCCCGCTGAGCTGGGAGCCCGATGTGGGACTCGATCCCAGGACTCTGGGATCATGACCTGAGCAGAAGGCAGTCACTTAACCAACTGAGCCACCCAGGTGCCCGGTATTTAATACATTTTTTAAATTATTGTAAAGAAATGCCCATTCAATGCTAGACTTCTTTCATCTTTCTAAAATAGAATGTATCACACCACATCTGTTTAATCTTCAAAGGTCCCCAAACACCCACAGGATAGAGGACAATCTCCTTATGGCAAGAAACCCTTTAAATTAGCAGCTACACAGCTTTGCAGGCTCTGCTCCTAACATTACCCTCTATGCCCTGAACTTCAGCTACACCAAACTACTCAGTTTTTCTTTTGTCATTGCCTTGCACATGCTGTGAACATTACATGGAATGCCACTTAGCCTCCTCTCATGTACCCCAAGAACTCTGAGTCATCATTCCCAACCCTCAGGACACTCTCATAATCCCAGAGACAAGTTAGTTGCTGCTTCTCCATGAGCTCATTGCAGCCCAAGTGATTTTTTAATTGTGTTCTAACAGACTGATATCCCTGAGGGCAAGGACTATGCTTTGTTATTTGTATTCCTAGAACCTATCTCTCCTGAGTTCTTTAACTGCTTTGGGAATGAATAAATGAATGGGTGGATCATGCTGAAAATTGAGTCATACAGTGTATTCACTCAGTAACAGAATTTCAGGAACATTCTTCACATTATTGTTGGTTTGAGAGTCGCCAAAAGTTGTTTTTGCCATTTTCTTGTACCATCTCATGAAGAGCAACTTTTTTTCTTCTCATCAACCCACAGGTATGCTGTTCTAGCACAAAATGACTGGTCGTTTTTCTCTACACTGTGGTAAACATGTCACACTCAGTAATGGAGAACCAAGAGAAGACAAGCAAGACAAGGACCAAGAAGAAAACGTCCAAATGAAGCAGAACATCACTGTACTAAATAGCATCTGTCTCATGGTGGGGCATATGAGGCTCAGGCATACTTGTATCGCCCAAGAAGGTTCTTAGAATAGTGCCTCCTCTAGGCTTTTCCTGATTGTTTGGGATATTACTGGACTTTTTTCACTGTTTGGGACTTTATATTATGCAGAGCTGGGAACTTACATCCAGAAGTCAAGGACAAGCTGTGCATATGTCTTGGAAGCATTTCATAGATTTACCGTCTTCAGCTGATTTTAGTCATCTTTACTCATTGAGCCAACAGGACAAGTCATAAAGGCACCCACATTTATGAAATTTGTTATCACACCTGTTTGGACAAACTATGATACCCCATATGAGGCCGGGAAATGGATCCTGATTGCCTGCATATGTGAGTATAGTACTTTGCCCTTCAGGCTCTTAGAATCTTATTCTAATCAAGGAGACCTCAAAGCTATTTTTAAACCCCTGTCAACCTAATATTTCAAATTTAGCTGAGGGCCAGTCTATTTGTGGAAAGTAGTCACTTGTATTTCTGATAATACTAAATGTTCAAACTTAGGGCCTTCGTGTCCCTGAAAGTTACATTCATTTATTTCATATTGATTTTACTTACAAATTTTATGAAAAACAGCTGGTAACTTCAGGTTCATTATCCATGAATAATTTATGAACCTGGACTAAGAATCTAAGTCCTAAGTTTAGTTCTATGAATCTTCTACATGTTACAAACTGTGGGGACATAGAAATAAGGTCTTCCACAATTAGCATATATTCTGTTGAGAGTATAAGACACATATAAAGAACAGCCTAAGCAAAAATGATATTCCATCAGAAAAAATATAAACGAGTGCTATAATATTTCAAAAGTGAGGGAGCTCACATTTGCATTGGGGATCAGAAGAAGTTTCTTAGAGAAGATGACTATCAAGATAGACTTTGAAAGACTGGATTTTGACAAACAGAAATATAAGGGCATGTACAGTAGAGCATTCCATGTGTAGAAAACAGCATAAGCCAAGGTATGAGGACAGGAAAATAAGAGAGGTATTCTATGTGAATGTCCTCCCTGAAATGGTGCAACAGGTACATTCAGTTTTCCCCACATAAGCAGAAGAGGATCCTAGTGAGATGCAATGAGGCGTTGGGATCAAATTCTACTTTAGGATCATTTTCCAAACTCATCAGGCCACTTTATTTTTTGTATTTATTTATGTTTTTTTAGTAGACTCAACACCCAACATGGAGCCCAAAGTGGGACTTGAACTCACAACCCTGAGATCAAGACCTGGGGTGATATCAAGAGTCAGATGCTTTAACCTACTGAGCCATTCAGGCACCCCAAGTCACTTTAGTCATGGGTTATAGAAGGGTAGGAAAAACAAAAGTAGATAAGTTCTTAAAACTACTATATAAAACTGTTTATCAAATGGAAAGTGTACGATTTTTGTTTTTTAAACAATGGACTTTTATCCTATTGAGAGTCCTTCCTGAACACTGATTCTTGTGAGCGGCTGTGCCTGTGATGTAAGCAGCATAATGCTGTGTTTCACTTACTGTGTTCCTTCTTCCTTTAGGAACTTATAATATTTATTCACTGCAGGAGTGTGAACTAGGAAAGCAGAATTCAGGATATCTTCATGTATGTAAAGATCTTGACACTCATCTTAGGTATAACTAGGAATGGCTACTTTGTTTTTAAAGGTAAGACCAAAAGCTAAATAAACAAATGAATAAAAATACCCATGAAGTAGTTAAGCAAATATGAACTACTATGTTACATGAATATCAACCTACAATATAGTTCTCAGAGTCTAAGCTAGACTGTTTAGTAGGTTCCAAGTTGTGTCACCGAGTTTCAAATGTAGCCACTATTAAATGTTCTGACCATAAAAAAGTAAATCTATCTAGCTTTTACATTTTCAATAGCTTTTCAGCATAATATCTCATTTAATCATCAAAACCAACCTATGTTACCTAATGGCCATTTTAGGAAATCCAAATGTTGTTTATTCATAAAAGACATCTTAACAGTTGTTTTGTTTTGTTTTGTTTTTAATTTTGACTGTAGGGTCTGAATTTGGGATAGGCAAAATCAAGAATATTTTTTAAGAAGACAAAATATAAGTCATAAATATTTAAAAATAAGAAATATTTACAGGCAACAATATCAAAATACACAGCAATAAACAACAATGGTTATTAGAAACAATTGTTTTTTAGAAACAATTTTTTTAAAAGCAAGGGATCTTTGAAAACATAATTTGAGAGAATGTCAAAAAGCACTAACAGTTGTTTGTGATTAAAAGGAATTTCTACTATTTCAGGCATAAAATAACTCAGTCATTTTACAGAAAAGAAAAAAAAGACCCAAGCTCTAATTATAATCCTTTATCCTTTTGTTCATTCCTGTAACAATTTGCAGTAAAAGATTTAACAATACACTTTTATATGTTTGTATTTAGCTATATACAGGTATATAAATACACAATAATTGATACATATAAAGCTTTAAAATATTAACTTATCAATATATCAAATGAAACAGTGTATATTTTTTCAATGTATGTAAATATATATTTTTCAAAATGGTAATTATGTATATCATAGTAATGTTATCACTTTGGAAAACCATAAAAATTTTCTTAATAAGCAAACAAATATATATTTAAAAAACATCCTGTGGAAGAAATAAGGTGAGTTTTATTCCCACTTTACAGATCAGGAAGTGAGACTTGGGAAGATAAAGTGATTTCCCAAGGTTATCCAGGAAAGACACTCATGAAACCTTTCATTTGACAAATGCTGGCTCTGGCCCTGGCACAATGCTAAGCATTAGCTAAACAAAGACTGACAGGGCATTCCCCTGTCCTTGAGGAACCACATCCCATCTTGAATTCAAGTCTTCAAAATCTTAGATAGATAGATAGATATTAAAAAAAAAAAAAAAAAAAAACGACCATAGTAACAGACCATGGAAAAGGCACTCGAATATCAAGTCAGGATACTTAGGTTGCAATTTGACTCTAGCAGTGTGGAGCCATTTGAGAAAATTACTGAAATATGCCAACTTTCAATTTTCTGAGCCACTAAATGAGTGGCTCTCAGGTGAAATTCCTAAGGACCTATCAGTACCAAAAATTTAATGATGTATAGAGCATTTAGAATTGGTACTTATAGGTCTAAAGTCAACATTAATACCATCGTGTGATAAATATACCTTTTCTTATGAGCTTGCTATTTTTGTGAGATATCTACTTTTTAAAAACCTTCTGGTTATAGTATTTGTTTTATGTTTTACTTATGTACTTTTAAGCCATGAAAATTAGCGCCATCCAAAGAAGCTCCAGTATTACCTCAAATTAAGTCAAAATCTTCACAAAATTATCTTTCAACAAGCATGTATTTTCCTCTCAGAGAGGAAAAAAGTGGGGGGAAAAAAAAAGCATTTTTGCCTTTAAGGAGATCAGATCAGGGATAAAAGGAGAAAACCAAAACCAAAACAACTATCCAAAATGTACATGTCTACTAAAAATAGGCCCTAGGATCTGGAAAATCTGTGCCAAACACGATGTGAAAATTAGAAAAAAACAGATACAAGTTGAACTGACAAGATAGCCAAGAGAAGGCCAGTTGGCTGTTTCCTAAGATACCTGGCAGGAGTTCTGACATTCCCTTACCAAACTTCAGGTTCTGCCTTCAGTTTTATAAAAATCATCAAAACCAAGCTATGTTACCTAATGGCCATTAGGGGCCTTGGCATTAAGCTGAGAATGGATCCATCCATCTGAGTGGTACTGATAAATAAAATCAGAATGCAATGCCATTTTATTCACTAAGGATGAGAAATAGAATTGTTGTTGGGCTTCTATGATTTTGTGAAAAATATGTTTTCTTCCACTAGTGAGATCTGTGCTGAAACATAAATGATAAACAAAAGAAGACAGAATAAGGGGTGTCTGGTTATTTCCCCAACAGAGATATCATAATCAAGGCTTTAGACTTGAGTACTTTTCACCCAAGACATGCCTCCGTGGACATGACAAGGACCACTTCTCTGACCTTCTGCCATCTCTTCCAATTGGTCATTCCTTAAATATGTTAGTTCCTCCCAGAAAACTTGCTCCTTTTCAAATTATGAAATATCTCAAATGTACAGAATATAACAAGGATTCCATATCCCACACATTCTAAGTGCTACATTTGTTTCAGACTTCTTTTTAAAGAAATAAAACAATATAAATAGAACCAAAGCTCCATTCCTCTATCTTCCTCTCATCACCACCAACTTTTTCTTCCCAGAATAAATAACTGTCCAATGTAAACACAAATCGCCCCATGCATTTTTTTAAAAATCTTACAACAGATGAATGTATCCACAGTAGTGTCGTTTCATAAATAGCACTACCTTATACATATCTATTTGCAGCTTCTGGTTGTCTCTTAACATACTTTTTAAAAGATATGACCACGTTGATATATGTAGCACTGCATTTGGCATAGTACACTATGGCAGAAAGTAGACTTCATTATTTTATGTATGTATGTATTTTATTATATGTTTGTGTGTAAGACACCTGATACAGAGCTCACAGGGCTAAAATCTAGGTGTAGGCAGGGCTGCATTCCTTTTTAGAGACTCTAGAAGCAAATCCATTTCCTTGCTCTTATAAGTTATTGCCAGAATTCTGTTCCTTGCAGTTGTAGGTCTGAGGTCCCCATTTCATGCTACTGTCCTCTGAAAGTTGTTCCCAGCTTCTTCTTTTTTTTTTTTTTTTAAGATTTTATTTATTCATCTAAGAGAGCACAAGCAGGGGGAGGAACAGGAGAAGGAAAGCAGATTCCATGCTCAGCATGAAGCCCGATCCCAGGACCCTGAGATCATAATCTGAGCCAAAATCAAGAGTCAGATGCTTAACCAACTGAGCCACCCAGGCACCCCGAGTTGTTCCCAGCTTCTAAGGGCTGCCTACACTTCTTGGCTCGTGGTTCACTTCTTCCATGTTCAAAGCCAGCAAGGATGAGGAGAAGCCATCTGAAAATTTCAGTCTCTCCTGCCCCTCCTCCAAATGATACAAGGTAATCTCTTGATCTTCAAGTCATCTGGTTGGCACCCTTAATTCCATCTGTAACCTTAATTTCCTTTTGCTGTCTACGCAATATATTCACAGGCATGACATTGGGTTTAGACTGAGGGGGACGAAATCTGCCTGCCACACTGCCAATGCCTTAGAATTTCTTCGTCACCTAGCGAGGATAAGGGAAGGTACATTCTCTGATGGGAAGCTTCATGACTGTTACGTAGCTATATGCTTGTAGAAAGTGAATATAATTGACTTTTTCAAAACAAAGACCATACCAGTTTGTTTACTTCAGGATGACAGTTTCTTAATGGATTAGAGAGAAAGAGAGAAAAGATGTCTTGGAGAAACTGCTCTAAACTCTGAGGAGAGTCATCACCTTTGCCCATAAGAAAATCTTCCATTTTGATGCAAATGCTTGTATTCTTGGTTTCTTTTTCAAATGTTCAAACAGTAAAATGTCCTTTAATTTTTCTTCTGAGGAATCTACCAGCGGCTGTTTCTGTATCCGTGCCCATTGTGACCGTCCTTTATTTGCTGACCTATGTGGCTTATGATGTCATCCTACTTATGCCTTCTCCCTTGACTAGTGAAGTTGGAAAGGATCCACAGCTCTTTGCCTCCATTGAGAAGTTTTTCATAAGAGGAAAATATGAGCAATTTACACCTTTCTGTGCCAGATCCATTGTTGGAAAAAAATGAGGAAAATAATAATATGGGAATATTGTGAGAATTAAATGAGCTAATACATGTAAGTCTTACCACAAAGCTTGGCAGAGCAATCAAGGTTCACTCTTCACTGTTGTTGTTGTTGCACTAACTTCAGGAAGAAACACTCATTACGGTCACAGTTATCATCTAAAGACCACATTATGCATACCAGGCAGCACCATGAGGGGTGGTTCTGTTTCTCTATGGCAACTTAGTGTAGACCCACAAAAACAGGCATAGGATTTCCCCGCCAAATCTGCTTACAGCCAAGGTAATCACCAGAGTTGAGACAGGAATTTTCCAGCCATGTTTATGTCACTGCATTGGTGACCTGAATGGTTTCCCAGGGCCTGAGTTAAATTATCCCATTTCCTGCACAAAGAACTAAGACTGCATCTATAACAAATTCATGTAAGGAGGTTGGCTGATAAGACTTGTGTGAGGAATTGATTGTGTCTACTATAACCTAACATTAAGTCTTGTTTCACTATTTTTCTTTTTTAAACTTTTATTTCCACCTTTGGAAAAACTCTAGATTAGATACCCCTAGATATGATTCCCAAACTGGTGCATTTTTATGGATATTCTCATTTCCTATAAAATCAAGAAAAAAAAGAAAGAAGAAAAACACTATGGGGCCCCACATGAGAGGAGAGTTTGGCCTAGTGTGCCTTTATAAATTCAGCATTAGATAATTAAGGGGAACTGAATCTAGAGAAATGTTTGTAAACATGTATGATGTGGATTCTATTTTTCTTTTAGGTTTTAATCGGCTAACTTACAGTTTATTGATACTTCTCTACATGAACCATAGGGATCATCAGTTTCTTAGTTAGTATTGAGTCCATTTCATTCCAAATCTCTGTATCCTGAGATTAGTGCTAAAAATAAACTAGATCCCCCATAATGAGTTTTCTTTTTACTAATAACTTTCTTTTCTTATTCCCTCCCTGCCCCCAGACATTTGGTAATAAGGCCCTACACCAAGTTCAGAAACTCATTCCTATAGGGCTTGTATCTCTGAACTTGGTTTAGGGCTTTGTCAGTGAACTGAACTCATCACTCATTAGAGCATCCAGGTAAGAAAATCAAATTGTGCTATGGGTTATTTGTGTTTTCAAAGCTCAGCTAAGGGAAATCAATAACTTCTTATGTTTAGTGTCACTAATGAACAACAGCCAAGCCTTTTGATTATTTCTTGTTCTTGTTTTTACCATAAACCTATTTCAGGGATTTCAAATGTTAAAATAGAGATTCTGTTTCATCATGTTTGTTTTTCACTAGTTAATGCATAAATGCGACTCTAAAAAAGAGTCAATCTTTTCCAGGATGTGGGAAAGCAGGGTTTGCATGAAAACTGTTTAGTAACATCACATACTGCAAATAGTTGTCAGTCAGGATAATTGCAAAACAAAGTACAAATGTGGAAAAGTGCTGAGTGAATGAATCCACTGGGAGAAGAGCCAAATGATGAACACAGCAAAACAAGCGGTAAAAAATCAATGCTAATACACACCCGCTTACCCAGTGTACTTAAAATCAGATCCCTTGGTTGGCCACCTTAGCTGCCCTACCGCTGGCTAGAATAATGATGGGCCATCAGACAGCTGCTCAGTAAAGAAATTGCAAAGAGAGAAGAGGAGATTAGGGTGTAGGTGTGCTGGAAGAAGATTTTTGGGAAAACATTTCTAATTTGGGATGGTGAGTAGGAAGGATGGAGCAGTTCCCACCATCATTCGAGTCTCGCCTATTTTTATTGAAATGATAATAACAAATTAGTTTTGCTAATCTTATGTCATTTGCTATAACAAACCTGTGAAATTGTTGCTAACAATAGTATCATTATCCTTATCTTCAAGTTGAGTAAACCAGCTCATTCAAAGTGACCTAACAGATCCAAGGTCATATCAGTAATATAGAGCTCAGGACTCACATTTCTGACTCCAGTCCTAATGGCTTTTCCACCTCACCATGCCTCCTCTTGCTAGTAATGACTGAGGTCTGCTTCCGTCCAGTGCAAGATAGGATTTGGTTCCCATTTTTCGTTTTCTCTTAGTTGTCTAATTTAATGGTTGCACTAAATCTTAGTGGGCAGCACTTGGTCCTATCTGCTCTTTTTCCATCCTTTTTCTCACTCCTAATAAGCGACTAAAAAAAAAAGCAAGTACAAGGGGATTTCCAGTTATACTATCTGGTTCCTGTGTGGTCTTTGATATTTCAGGAAAAAAAAAAAAAAAAGTACCTCATTCTGTGTGCCATCTGAATTTCTCTTTTTCTTGCCCTGCATATTTACATTAGAATATCAATTGCTGTGTTTGCAGAGCATCTAACTGATTACAGCTAACACTTCGCATTCTTCACACCCATTTTTCAGGCTCTTTTATGTGGGCCCAACAGAAGGGCACCTTCCCTGCAGTTTAAGCATGATCCATGTGGAGTAATTCATCCTGGTCCCTGCTCTTCTCTTCAAAGTAAGTAAATCTGATGTCCATCTTATAGAAACTGTTATTGTCAAGAATTCCTTGCTTGTGCCCCTCGTTTTCTATATTCATTTACTTGAGAACGTTGAGCTCTCCACCCAGCTTTAAGATAAGGAACGTTAAGGGCCTATGTCTTGCTGAGGCCCAAGGGAGAACAGCACCTTAAAGCTTCCTGCTCTATGAGGCACCTAAGACCCTGGGCCAGAAACTGAGCAGAGATAAACAAGATGTAGAGTCTGAAGATAGGAAGACTCCCAGAAACAGTAAGTAATGCTTTAGCTGCGTTGTCATGAATTGGAAATTTCCCTGTAGTCAGGGAAACAGGAAAAAAGGAATAGTCAAAAAAGAGAGATTATATAGGAGAAGATACGGAACATAAAATGGATAATTTGTACTTAGTTGTTCAGTGTTTACTATGTGCTACACACTAGATGTCATCACAAGATGGCATAGAGATTGACTTGGGGCAAGACATTCGGCAGCCAGATGGTCTTTGAAAACAATGAAGCACATTATTTCGTTCTCCTATTTAATAACCTTCAAAAGCAGGTTCCCCTTGTAAACAAAGTAAAATCCAAATTCCTTAGCATGACCCACAATGCCCAATATGATTAGCCCTGAGAATTTCAACAAGCTCATCTCCTGCCACATCCACTATACTCCAGGCCCTCTGGCTTTTTTCTGTCTGCTTTACAGGGCAAATCTTTTTGCTTCTCCAGGGCATTTGCATTTATTGTTTCCTGGCCTGCTTATCCCTCAACTTTCAGGTCTTATCTCAAATGCTTTGAGAAGTCTTTCATTAGCACCCCGAGATAGAAGCCATCATTCCCCAACCCACTACCCAAGACTGTCTCTGCCCCATCTCCCTGTTTTACATATAATCCCATAGCTTTGATTAAACCTAAAATGTCCATTTGCTTTGTATTATCTGCTTTCTCCAACAATCATAGAATTGTTATACAAGAAAAAATCTTATAGAAGCTCTGTGGAAACAGGAATCTTGTCTCTTAGACAGTACTCTATCCTCAGCATCTAGAAGACTTGGCAATCATCTGTTGAATAAATGAATGAATCACTGTCATGAGGGTGAGTAAGCTGAGGAGTGTTCATGATCAGGAGAAATGAGATTATCTTAAAGGGTTTTTCTGGGTAGGGTTTTCCAGAGTAGAAAACTTAAAGGCTGGAGGCATCTGGGGAGCTCAGTCGGTGAAGCATCTAACTCAGTTTCGGCTCAGGTCATGATCTCAGGGTTGTGAGACTGAGCCTTGCATGGGGCTCTGCACTGGGCGTGGAGCCTGCTTAAGATTCTGTTTCTTCCTCTCCCCCTGCCCCTACCCCATGTTTCCTTCTTTAAAAAAAAAACTTAAAGTCTGAGTTGATAAGACATAAATAATAAACCCTGAGTAACTACCTTACCTGTAGGTTAAGCATGCAATTCAGTTTTGGCTTAGGTTATAATGTTACTAAACAGTAGATGTTACTAAACAGTTTTCATGCAAACCCTGCTTTCCCACATCCTGGAAAAGATTGACTCTTTTTTAGAGTCCATTTAAAATGGGCCGCATTTTATAAAAGTTTCTTAAGAAAGGATCTTAATATAGAAAGCATGACTATATTCATTGTGAATATATTCATTGTGAAATCCTGGAAATGTATACCAATGAATTCAAATTTTATCTATATAACACTATACATTCTTTGTGTTGGTAGGGCATGGTAGCTATGATGTATCTTCTGGTGGAAGACATTTTCCAACTCATCATCATTCCTTCAGCTACTGGCTCTATGTCAGGCTCTCAATTATAGGATTAATGTATGTGAGGAAAACACAGCCTGAAAGACCAAGGCCAATCAGAATGAGTAAAATATACACTATCTAGGAATGCCTTACTAAATTTCTTGAGAATTTTTTAACTAGTATATATTAATGCATTATTTATATGATTTCTTGTTAAATTTTTTAAATAAACCCATGAAAAGCAGAGACAATCTTTGAAAAAAATCATTCTTTTTTTTTCTTAATATTTTAAGTAGATTCCATGCCCAGTATGGGACTCAAACACACGACCCTGAGATCAAGAGCCACAGATTCTACCAACTAAGCCATGCAGGCACCCCTTGAAAAAAAAATCATTCTTTACTCAACACCTATATATCTAGGAATTTATTCTAAGGATAAAATTTAACAGAAATGAAAATATATGTGTGACAATGTCAACTATATCTTTATTTGCAAGAGCAAAAACAAACAAGAGAAAATATCCAGCAACTTGGTGGAGAACTGTATGGATAACAAAAATGATACCCATATAAAACCGAGAAATATTTATATGACAAAGTATTTAAATGAAAATAACATAAGATAGCATTTGTAGTATGATATGTTGGACTTTGGATTATGACATCCTTATTCATATATCCAAATCACATTTAGTTACTTATGAACCGTATGACCTTGGGTATGTCCATTAACCATACTAAGCTTCTGTTTTCTCACTTATAAACTAGAAATACCAATAGCATCAATTCTATGTCATAGGAGCAATTTTTTGTTAACTAAAATTCATTTATAAAAATTTTATTGAAATGCCTCCTTAAAAATATCCATGTGAAAGTCATTAACTTTCAAAAATTGTTACCTTCTTTCCAACACACATTACATTTTAAAGATATTTTATTTATTTATTTATTTGACAGAGAGAGACACAGTGAGAGAGGGAACACAAGCAGGGGAAGTGGGAGAGGGAGAAGCAGGCTTCCCGCGGAGCAGGGAGCCCAATGCGGGGCTGATCCCAGGACCCTGAGATCATGACCTGAGCCCAAGGCAGATGCTTAACGACTGAGCCACCCAGGTGCCCCCACGCATTATATTTTAGATTTAACTTTCGTATCTCCTCATTGAAACAATTAACAGAACCTGCTTATGTGTTATGAAGTGCTTTGCAAGGCTAACTATACAATCTTGCTGGTGAGTAGTACATAAAAATTAAGAACTAAGACTAAGCACAATAAGAAATAAAGTACTAATCACTTAGCAAAGTTGTGGTTTTCATTTGTTTTCTTAAATTGTATTCTTATTTACCATCATAAGCCATTTTTTCTTCAGAAGAGAGGTAATGAAGTTTCATTCAGAGACAATTAAGAGATGTTGAACTATTGGGGTGCCTGGGTGGTCTGTAGGTTAAGCATCCAATTCAGTTTTGGCTTAGGTTATAATCTCAGGGTCGTGAGATCAGCCCCGTCACGCTTTGCACCTAGCACGGAGTCTGTTTGTGACTCTCTCCCTCTACCCCTCCCCTCGCAATTTCTCTCTGCCTCAGATACATAAATAAATAAGTCTTTTTAAAGAGATGTTGAACTATTAATAGAGATGAAAGAAGGAAATAATCAACCAGATAGAAGAGGAAAAGAAAGCAAAAGGAGTGAAAGAACTTTGGTAAAGAGAACAGACACAAAGGGTTATTGAAATGGAGCAATAGGGCGCCTGGGTGGCTCAGTTGGTTAAGCGACTGCCTTCGGCTCAGGTCATGATCCCAGAGTCCTGGGACCGAGTCCCACATCGGGCTCCCGGCTCAGCGGGGAGCCTGCTTCTCCCTCTGACCCTCTCCTCTCTCATGCTGTTTCTCGCTCGCTCGCTCTCTAATAAATAAATAAATAAAATCTTTAAAAAAAAAAAAAAGAAAGAAATGGAGCAATAAGGGGTGCTGGGTGGCTCCGTCAGTTAAGCGTCTGCCTTTGGCTCAGGTCATGATCCCAGGGTCCTGGGATCGAGCCCCACATCAGGCTCCCTGCTCAGCGGGAAGCCTGCTTCTTCTC